AGCGTCGTCGACTTCTTGGTGAACGAAGTGTTCCATACGTTCGGCGTTCCAGAAGTCATACACTCCGATAATGGTAAGCAATTCACGTCCAAGCAGTTTGCAGACATGATGGAGGGCTACGGTGTTAAGCATCTGCGGACACCGGTGTATTCGCCGCAAAGCAACGCGTCCGAAAGGGTGAACCGGACTATACTGTCCGCGATACGGGCGTATCTGGGGCAGGATCACCGCGAGTGGGACCTACACCTTCCGGAAATTGAAGTGGCCATCAGAAACAGCGTGCATTCTGCGACTGGAGTAACGCCTTTTTTCGCACTATTCGGCCGACATATGATGTTGCACGGTTCGCAGTACCGATTGGCGAGGAAATTAAGGTCCTTAGACGAGCACGAATTCGCAGCGTTGAGTACAGCAGACAGGCAATCCCTGTTGCAACAGAAAATCCAGGCACAATTGCATGCGGCGTATGAGCGCAGTAGCGTTCGCTATAACCGGCGTGCGCGGCGGCTAAGACTAGCGCCCGGTCAGGAGGTATACCGGCGAAACTTTGCATTGAGTGATTTCAGCCGCGCGTTCAATGCGAAATTCGCGCGGAAATTTCTAAAAGCTCGCGTAAGGAAATCCATCGGCACCAACGCATACGAGCTGGAAGATTTGCAAGGGAACTTGCTGGGGGTATTCCACGCAAAGGATATCCGAGTGTGACGCCTGTCCTAAGGCAGAATGGATGAATATAGGGAGGAGGATGCAGCCAGAGCTACTCACCTGAAGATCAAGAGTGGGTGTGGCCTACGTTGGGCGCCGCGGTAGTAGTCATCCGAGGCAACGCCGGACTCGAAGCAGAGGACTCCAACAACACCAGCCGTTTGATGCGCGCAAACATCACTTCGGGGCACGAGCGTCCGCCCACTTGGATATTTGCGGTGGTGTTGCATCGGGCTGGTCACGAAGAATAAAAGGTGGCAGCGCTACGGAAGGCGCCAAGAATTTACAAAGGTACTGCAACGCCATCTAGCGGTACCGAGCGAGGCACCATGGTGGCAACTGCAGCCACGCAGGCGCAGGGTTGTGTCCCGATGGCACCTCAAAGTGGGGAAACGTCAAGGCCGTGATGAACGGATGCGCAAGGACGTAAAAATCCGCAGGCATACGACATCCGGCCTATAAAAGGCAAGCCGCAACACGCCATTCCTGTTTTTGGGGCGACGGTGCAGACCCACGAGGCAGTGTTTTCTTTTGGTGAACTGGAGGCCGTGCTGAAACCTGAAAAAGGAAAGGAAGAACCAGAAGCCGTTCGAAGATTTTCCGGCATATCGCCAAGTTTTCGGACAGCGGTGGAACCATACACAGCAGCTGCAGCGGCCGTCATAAGTAGCAGCACGAGCCGCATCGTAGCAGGAGCAACAGCGACAGCAGCAGATCCAGCACCAGCGTCTTCAACGACAGCAGCAGATCCAGCACCAGCGTTTTCAACGACAGCAGCAGCAACGACAGTGGCAGCCGGAGCAAAGGCGCCCACCCAAGAAGTAGCAGCAGCAATAGCGGCGCCACCACAACGCAACAGCAGACACGTCCGTCTGCGCCATCAGCAGCGGAGGATAGACAAGCCGGTGAGTCCGTTCCTTGGCCACGCGCCGTGCCTATTGTTCGCGGTTGAGCAGCGACATCAGGCAGAGATCCCGCGCGCCTTACGTCGTGTCGTTTGTATGGGCTGCGCCTGCAGGGTCCCACACGCCGCCCATTGAAGTTTCTGCAAAAGAAAAAAAAGGAAGATAATACAAAAGAAAGAATATATACAGATATAATAAAAACCAAAACAAGGCAGAAAGTGGCACCTAAACAGAGCTTGGCGCTCTATTTAATTAATAAAAAATTCACACTCTTATACACTTATATTGTACGAAGATTGCCAATTGCAGTAGCGCGCAGTGTTTTATATTAGTCTTATATTTCTATTGCGCCCATGACCGTCGAGAGCTCTCGTTAGGATTTGGTTAGACATTTTTCTATAAATTTTTGTACCGCGCATATTTTTCTCATACACATACACATATATCTATATACATATTTATTTGCCATAAGCATACTTGCATGTTGGCGCACATAAAGAACCGCATTGGCCGTTGGCAAGCCTTCTTTATTTTGTTTTTATATAAATTATTATTGTTCCATATTTACATTGTTTTCACTCACACTCAATCACACTGAAATATATGTATGTTTGTAGCCACATAAACTGAAAATTAATTGTTAATTTTAATGGTCGCACCGTTGGTGATGATGCATTAAAGCAGCATCAGTAGGGGCGGGAGACTCACCTGTGCCATGGAATAGCCCAAGCACGGTCCAAAAATAGGGTATCCAAGAAACATTTTGGCTTTGGATACAGGCAGGGAGGGTACGCCTGGGATAACAACAGCTAAATCCCATACAGTTGTCCGATGCCTCCAATCCCTGTCCGTCCGCACGTATATTATCTCCTTTTACAGTCACCCGTATTCGTACGGATGGCTTGAGGGAGTTATCCGTTTATTTGTTTTCTTGTCGCAGTACGTTTCTTTTAGTTTATGTTAGTTTTTTTGGTTTGTTTACGTTTTGAATTCGGTTTTGTATATTGCGCGTCGAATTTATTGTAGTGATGGCATTTTGTTTATCGATGGAGGAACCGTGTTATCGGTTATTGTACGACTCACGCGGGCATAGGGTTGGAACCACACACCCAAGGAGAATTCCGATGAGCCAGCCGGCGTTGCCCAAGAGGAAAAGCGTAGTCGTAACATCTGTTAATTCTACGAAAAGTTATTAGCGAAACAATTTCATTCCGGTACTACGCCCACAAGCTTATTTTGTTTCTGCTAGAGGCGCATGTACCTCAGTATCGGAAGTTTACCTGGATACAGGGTATTTCACTGTCGGGATTGCTCGACTGTAGCGTTCTTTCTTGTTTTACTATAACATTAAACATTTTAATAGCCTGTACCCAAAGGGTAAAAGGCTATACTAGTTTTGTGCGATTTTATGTAACAGGCAAAAGGAGGCGTGGCAGACCCCACAAATTATATATATTCTTGATCAGGGTGACAAGCCGATTTAAAAGTTGAGCCTGCTCGACTTCAGCATTCCTTTCTTGTTCCTACTTAACTAAGTGTATGATATTGATAAGATATGATATTTTACACAACTTTCACTTAGTTAATGTTGCGTAAATGTGCTCGAATTTAAATTCAGCAGCGTTTCGCTGCTGATTGATCTTTTTTTAGGTAATGCGGTAGCTCATTCCACAGAAAGAACAATACCTTAAATTATACTCATAGAAAAAATACAATTGAAACTTAAACTAGGATTGTAGTCTTAATTACTACACATTTCATATTATTTATAATTTATATGAATCTATTGACAAAGTCGACCTGGTGCGACCTCTTTAGCAATCTTCTCGCTATAGGTCCCCCTTTCATGAGCCGTTTCAGCAGACGCCTTGTTATAAATTAAAATTCTTTTTTATTTAAGTGTTAGACCACCGCAATCCTAGCATTCGAATTTTGATTTATACCGATTTTTTCTTTATTTTAAAGAAGAAGCAGAATTATTAAAACCTCCATGAATTAAAAAACAGTAAATTTTTTTTTTTATTTTTTTATTGGATAAACTATTCGAACTTTTATACAAATATTGGATCCCGTTCCCCATCCCTCTGGAGCTCGAAGTTTTCTTGGTACTCATCTATACTGTAATAGAGAACTTGTATCCACATATCAGTTTCCTAACTCTTACCGTTTAAGCTTGACTTGAATTTTTTGAACTATAAACAATTACTCACCGATTTCGAAGAAATTTAAAATAAAAGTATATTTAATTAAAAATTTTTTAAAATGTAACCTAATATGTATACCCTTTTTACCCTACGGGTACTGGGTGTAAAAACCAGGAACCACTATATGGACCACCCTATACACAATGTACACACACATATATATACACTCACTCATGCATATGTACAAGTATTTGGTGCATCGGCCATTGTGTAACGACGCTGGTTGCGAATATCGTATTCTTCACACTGCTTGTTTTAGTTGATTTAATTTTATTTTAGCGGCGAGTGTCCGTCATTAATTCCTTTTTTCTTTTAGACGTGAGTTGGTGAAACAAATAATTTTCATCAGATATTTTTCGTTCGGCTCTTGGCCACCCATGGATTATTTTCCTTATTGCCCAGATGCAATATTTGCTCGTTGTTAGTGGTCCCTTTTTTACCTTTGACCTGTCAAAGGGGAAGTGTCAAAAGATGGATGAAGCGATTACCGTAACGGAAAATTGTCTTGCTTGATCTTGCTATATTTTTATTACAAAGATAGGAAACTCATATGTTTACAATCTCTTTGTATTTGCTTCAAAATAAATGAATATTAGCTTTAGTTTTTCCATTATTGTTAATTTAAGGTTACCAATGTAATTCCCTGAAAATAATAATTTTAGTTTCTAATAAAAAGTTTGTTTTTTTGCTTAAATTTACGGCGTACTATGATTTCCGCTAGCCGCAGCATGTAGAGGTATTATGGATCATTCCACTACCCATGTTTGGATAAAATGACCAAGGAAAATATTTCCTCGACAACAGCAAAGGAAGAAAAGATGTGTTCAGCTGATGCAACGTGGTCTACAAACCTGTTTTCTTTATGTCGGACATATTTATGTTACAACTTCCCGATTTTATGGCTTTACGTATAAGATTTTTAAAAAGCAGTAGGATCTGACCTCGCCCAAGCTAACGCGTTCATTTCTATACCCGTACAATCAATTTATATTTCAGATATTTAACGCTAGATTTTCTTTCGTCAGGTTTCATATCTGGTCAAGGTGCTTCTTCTGATATACTAGACTACAGAAAAGCGTGTTAAGCTCATAGAGTTTCGTCCAGCTGCATGGGCAGCGATTAGCAAAACACACTGTTTGGTATATTTATTTTTAATATTACGTGTACTTTTAATATCCACAAAATATTCATGAGTAATCATTATGTGCGATTATTTTATACATCAAAATAACAAAGTGTTCTGTATACATCAAATGAAATTCATTACATATGTGACTACAAACTGTAGACTTAAGACTAACATTTAAACTAAAATGTGCTACACATTATACAATACACGTATACGATATAGCATATATATAAAGATATATTTGGTAAGTTGGGACGACTACTGCCATAGCGCTCAAGGAATTTGTGGTAGAGATAAAACAAACTCAACTGCTTGGAATCGCAGTAGCTGTAAACTAAAAATTTGGACCTAGGCGTTCACAGACACTGCAAGACAGCAGTTAAGTCTTTACATTTGTAACTGTGCTTTTTTCAACATCGATTTTTAACTGGGCGATTTGTGATTATTCCTTGCAGCTCAACATCATAAATTCATTCACTAAATATACTAACTAGTGATGGTTTGCTTCTTTTCTGAATGCCATGCCGTAGAGAGATAGAGATAGAGAGAAATTGGTAGCTCCATATGCCGAATACAGAACTCGAGTATTCTATGTGTGTGTGTGTGATGCTGAGGTTAAGAGTTAGAGGCTTAATTGAAGAGACGCTTCAATATGCTTTGAATTGTGGTTAGGGACTGGTCCTCTATAAGGAATGTGCGATGGTTGCCGTCGACTGTATGCACCTCGACCGCTTTTGTGCAAACCTACAAGTAATACAACAGAGAATTAGATTTGAATAATTTGATATATAAAAAACACCCCCCCTGTGTCTAATAACTCACCTCCTTCAAACGGTAGTCTTCGTCCAGCTTAGCAGAGTTATCTGTGGGCTTGACCAGCGTAACATTCGATTTAAGTTTAAGCGTGGGTGTGTAGCTGTCGGCGAGCTCCAGTTTTTTATAGAACAACGTAGCTGCCTTCTTGATCTGGATATTAAATGAATACTTATGCATTAGCAAGCTCAGCATTAACAAGGCGTACGCTCTCCACTTACCACATCTACGGGCTGGCTAATTTCCACACTGATTAGTTCTGCGAACCTCTCCAATTTCTCCTCCCATGTGGGAATGACCAATAACAGACGTACGAGCTGTAATGGTAAACGGGCAGATAGGTATTAGCTAAAGTAATTTTGAATCACCTTCTCGTACACCTACCGATTTGTAGTCAATGTTAGCCAGCACAATGCCGAAGTAGGCCAGGCCATAGCTCTGATTGGAGTTGGAATCATCGGCCGTGTATCGCTGCTTGAAACTGCTGGTGTACCAGTTCACATAGTTGGGCGCACCGTCCAACATGACCACGTTCGTGATCTCATTGCTTTGCTCCAGTATGTAGGCCATGACGTAGGTCACAAGGCAGCCGAAGGAGTAGCCTGCCAGATTGTAGGGTCCCTTGGGCTGCACTGTGCGCAATTGTTGAATGTAGAACTTTGCAACTGCCTCGATTGTGTCCACGGGCACGGTCTCTGTGAATTGCAGGCCATAGGCGGGGCATTCGAGACGCTTGGCAAGCGGTTCCAGAGCAGTGGCGAAACCTTCAATCGGCGAGACAAAGAAAATTGGACGCTGTTTGCTGGCTGCTGTTGCCTTCGTCTCTAGTCGAACTATCGCTTCAGTGGGCATCAATGCGGTGGTAAAGACAACTTGAGTTCCATCTCCCAGGGGACTGGGTGTGCGTGAGGGAGTGTTCGCCTTCTCTGCGGCTGACGTATCGGTGGGCTTTACATCAGCACCGCCATCCATTTGCTTCAGTGATCCGAAAGTTAGATTGCGAATTTCTTGCGCGGACAGCACAATGTCGAAGTTGCGCTCCAGTGTTTGTTTAATTTCAGCGCTCATCAGTGAATCCATGCCAAGGTCGGCCAATGAAGCTCCATCCTGAATGTTCTTTGTGTCACGCAGGCCCAGAATATTTGAGATGGTAGCAATTAGGCTAACTCCTGCGGACTGATCTGATTTTCGCTTTTCTGCAACCACCATAGAGGCCAAGACAGAATGTGGCTGCTGGAGGAAGAGGTCAATGGTCTGCAGGCAAGAAGGCATCCGCTGAGGCAGTGTTCCTCCGATAACGGTGTCGTTGTCACCCAGATTCTCCAGCACTAAGCCAGTGTCACCAATCGCACCCCACTGTATGGATGTTCCGGGGAAGCCACTGATTTGACGCTGCTCACAAATACGCTCCATAGCTGAATTAGCCAAACCGTAGTTAGTCTGACCGATGTTGCCGCGACCGCAAGATACACTGGAGAAGCAGATGAAGTAGTCCAGCTCGGTACAGATGGTACGCGAGTATTGATCCAGGTATTTGGTAGCCGTTACCTTGGGATCAGCCACAGTTTTGAAATCCTTTGCCGTCTGATCTTCAATCAGAGCATCGCGCAGCACTGCGGCAAGATTGAAAATGCCGCCGACCAGAGCAAGCTTGTTGCTTGTCTCCAAAAGTTTTTTAGCGCCTGCGGCGGTCGTTACATCGTTGGTATCAATAACCACTTTGACGCCACGTTCCTGCCAGCGGCGAATCATCAGACCCTGATAGCCGGTCTTCACACCTGAACGGGAAGTGAGGACAATATAGCGAGCACCACGTGTAACAAGCCAGTTTGTGAGCTCAAGACCGAAACCACCGAGGCCGCCAATGAGAATGTAACTCTTTTCGGGATGCATGTAAGTGCGTGGAATTGCGTTAATCAGGCGTGGTTTTGGCAGCAACGTCTTGTGACCGTCCTCCTCATCGCGCACCTTGATCACAACTTTGCCGATATGCTTGCCAGAGGCCATAAAGCGGAACGCTTGCTCCACCTGCTGATCATTAAACACAGAAGTGGGCAATGGAACCACGGCGCCGTTCTTAATGCCGTCGGCCACTAAAGAAACCACCTGGTTTTGCATCTCCTCCTCGCCTTCCATCACACTGTCTAACAGGATGCCATGGAATGAGGTGTTTTTCAAGAACACGGACATTCCCAGTGGGCTGTTGTTGCTTAAATCGAATTTTCCGATTTCCAGAAAGCGACCGTTGAGACCTAGGCAACGAATGGAAGCCTGCAGTTTCTCCTCGGACAGTGAGTTGAGTACCAGATCCACACCCCTTCCCTTGGTTTCGCGCATGATCAGCTGCTCGAAGGATGTGTCACGTGAGTTGCCAATGTTGCGTGCCTGCAGCTTGGGGAAGCGCTTCAGCAAAAATTCACGCTTTTCCTGGCTACCTACGGTAGTGAAGACGGTCAGACCATGATGCAAGGCCACCGAGATGGCTGCTTGGCCCACGCCGCCAGAGCCAGCGTGAATAAGAATGCGTTCACCCTTCTTCATCTGGCCGCGCACCACCAATGCATAGTACACAGTTGAATAGACACAAGGTACCGTGGAGGCTTCCTCCATAGTCCACTTCTCAGGAATTTGCCACATCATGCGCTTGCTGGCCAAGCAGGTTGTGGCCAAAGACTTGGCTGGAACCATAGCCATTACACGACGACCAGCGGTATCGCGACCGGCGAACTCCAGACCCAGGACGCAATCTTGCTGTGCCAAGTCACCAGGCAACGCGTCAGCTGCCAATTTTCCGGATGAGAGCATAACGTCTCGGAAATTGATAGGCGCATAGTACACAGTGCACGTCTCCAGATCTTTGTCGGTGTTGCTGGTATCAGCCTTGGCGGCTTCAATCCATTTCAACGATGCCAAGTCACCCTTGACCAAAGCATTCACATAAGCATGCTCCACCTGCAGTGTAGCTTGCTCGGTTTCCAACTTCAAGTGACGGAAGGTACCCCAGTTGCCGTTTTTCAATACATTTGAAATGAGATCCTTCTCTAGCTGCTTGCTGTAAAGCGCTGACGTTAAGGAGAACTTCTCTGCCTTGGCATCCTGCACAAACACCAGACGCGCCAATTTTCCACCGTTCTCATTCTTAATGCAGGTCATTAGACCGACGGCACCGAAAAGCTCCTCACCCTGGCACACAATATATACGTACTGCTCCTCAGTGGTAGCAGTTAACAAAGCCGCCTTCAGATCGTCCACCCAGTTGAAGTTCTGCTCGGTCACCTGCACCACAACAGATTTACGGGTCTTCAGGTTTATGGTGCGGCGAGCCAGAACAAGAACGCGTGTACCGCCCAAGGTCTGCTCCTGCACACCCACGAAGCCAAACTTCTGCAACAATGTACGTCCCGTCTTGTTGTAGGTGCTCAGATTCTCCTCAAAGATGAGGAAACCAGAGTCTCGAATGCTGGCAATGCTATTCTCTAGAATCTTCGTGTCCGGACGTGCCAATACATCAATACCGAAGATGAAATGACAGTTCTGCTCTACCGGTTCTTTTAGGACATCCTTCGATATGACGCGCACTCCAGAGTCACCCAGCACTCCACTAATAGTCTCCTCGTTGTTATTGGAAGTGACAACAGCAACATCGCCGGTAAGCACAGGTTCACCTTCAATAAGTTGGAGCAACTTATTGGCAACTAGCACATCAGGGTTGCGTCCATTGGCCAGCTCAACGCCTTTTAACTTGACGGCGCCGCTGGAGTTCTCAATAATCAACTGGATCGCCACATCCAAAGCATGTAGTCGAGCCTTCTCCAAATTCTCATGTAATTCGGTGGTATTGTTGTTGGCAACGAAATTGTATCGTTCCAAGGTTGGTGGATTTTGGGTACCAGGACGGCGTTGGGCGAGCGAAGCCTTCAGGCCACGCAGCTCCACACCACCACTCTTGATCACGTTGATGTCATTGTACCAGTATACAGGGACTCCGGTTCCGGTTTGCTCCTCCTTGCTTAGATTATTAACGAGCTCTAGCTGCTTAGCCGGATTGATAACCGCCTTCTCAATACGCGTAGGCAGATATAATTCACGCAGATCCTTGCTAAGAATGCTAAACTGCAACATGGTATCCATGAAGCTGATCCAGTTGTCAACCCACTGCAGTTGACCCACAGAGGCGACGGTGTCTGAGGTAACGATGCCGCGGAATATGCCGCTATAGTCATAACCACGCAGACGCAGCTCCTTATATACATCATTGGTGACCAACTGCTTGGCAGTGGTGTTGGGTTGCTGTGGCTCCAGCGGCAACTCTTCATTTTCAATGCTCTCGGGCAGACTGATCTTGCCGGAAACAGCCAAGCTGCCACTCTCACAGATCTCAAAGTTTCCAGTTCCGTCAAAGAAGTTGATACCGAATTTAACGACAGCATTCTTGTTTAAAATGGTAGCACGATGGAACACCAGATTCTCCATGACCACGGGTGTCTTATGGAACTCACCGCCGCGCATCTTTGCGAAGGTCATCCAGGCCAGAGTCATGTATCCGGTAGCCGGGAACAGTATGCGACCATCGATGGTGTGGCCTGCGAGGAATGCATCATCCTCCTTGGAAAGGTCAACCTCTATAACAGTCTCTCCCGAAGAGGTTTCCTTGCCGAACTTGGCTACTAGCCATTTCTGCGAGTGATCCCAGCCGACCAAGGAGTTCAACATGGGTGTGCCGCGACCCACTGGATAGCTGATGGGACGAACAAGATTCAAAACCTGAGGCTGAGCGCCAGCGGCATACAGCTTGCCAACATTGCTGAGGAAGAACTCCACATTGTTTTCATGGCCACGCTTCACCAAGCTCAGATTTGTGGCATCCGGACCCAGAGCGCGCTTTAGAATAGCCTGCAGCAGGCCGTGGGGGGCAATTTCGATTGAGATCGCATTCTTGGGCACATGCTGCAGTGCCTCGTGGAAGAGCACGGGCGAGAGCAGGTTGTTCACATGATAGGCAGCCGAAGACTGCTTGGCAATGGGGGTGGTCCACGCAGATTCTGGAATACTGGTGCTCACCCAGCGGGTTGTGCGGTTCTTGGAATTGGGGATAATTTTCTCAAGGCTCTTGCGCAGTTTTGGGCCAGCATCGGCAATGTACTTGCTATGGAAGGCATAGCCGCTAGAGTTAACGGCCTTTGCAAACACACCCTCAGCGTTCAGTTTGGTAACCAGTGCTTCAATAGAGGCCTCCGGGCCGGAAATAGTGCAGTTATCCTCGCTGTTGTGGCACACGGGGAAACAGTCACTGGGCACACGCTTGTGAGCATCATCCCAGCTCAGACCAACGGCAGCCATCTTGCCCTTAGCCAGTTGCGTATCCAAAATGCTCTTTCCACGCCAGTATGCGGCCAGAACAGTTTGTTCAGGTGTAAAGCAGCCATCAGCGTAGGCACAGCCCAACTCTCCTACTGAGTGGCCAACAATGCCATCTGGTTGAATGTTTAGGGAGGTAAGCACATCGGTCAGCGCCACTTGCATAGCAGCAATCGAAATGAAGGAATTAAGAATGTTCTCGAAACTCTTGTCCGTGGAGCGTGTCAGCACATCAATAAGATCAACACCCTCCGGCTTTAGTACATCGGCACAACGTTGAATTGTTTTAGCAAACACATCGATCTGCATCAGATCCTTAGCCATACTAGCCCACTGGCTGCCCATGCCGGAATAAATGTACCAAATGGGGCGTTTCTCTTCGCTAAACTCCAGCACCTCTCGCTGCAACGAACCTTTACTGCTTACAACGCCATAGCCGCGGAAGTAATGCAGTGGAATGGGCTTGGAATGGATATCATTAATTAGTTGCAAATATTCATCATCATCGGCATGCTCTGTAGCAGACTCCACAAGCTGTTGCACGGCTTCAAATGTGCGACCAGAGGCTATAACCAATTTTGGAGCGCCATCGCGTGGTGTGATAGCCTTGGGTTTCGGATTGGATTTAAGGATGACGTGGGCATTAGCACCACCAAAACCGAAAGAGTTCAGGCCAATAATGCCACCGTTCCAAGGAAGATTCTTATCCACCACCTTCAAGCGGCCATCGACAAGACCGTACAAATCAGGATTTGGCTTGGAATAATGCAAATTAGCGGGTATCTCACCAGCTTCCATAGCAATTAATATTTTGGCAACTGAGCAAACGCCCGAAGCAGGCTCGGAATGTCCCATGTTGGATTTGACGGAGCCAATGAGCAGCGGCGTCTTGCGATCCTTGCAGAAAAAGTCGGTGATAGAGTTAACTTCTTGTGGGTCACCGACCTTGGTACCCGTACCGTGCGCCTCCACATAAACCACATCGTTGGGGTTTAAGCCAATTTCCTCGTATGTTTCGCGAATCAAGCGATTTTGCATTTTTCCAATGGGATAGGTAATGCCTTGTTCCTTAAAACCATCAGTGTTGGTGCGTACGTTAAGGATTGTTGCATAGACACGCTTGGCCAACGAGGTACGCTGCAAGAGCAACACAACGCAACCGTCAGAGCGCACGTAACCATTTCCTGATTCATCGAAGGCCTTGCAGCTACCATCCGGGCTCAACATATTCAGACGTTTGAACTGCAGCGACATAGTCGGTTTTAAAATGAGACCTGCACCAGCAACAATAGCATTGTCGCACTTGCCAGCGCGCATGTCAGAGAAGGCTTGTTCTAGAGCATACAGCGAGCTGGAGCAAGCGGTGTCCACACTGTAGCTGGGACCTTTGAAGTCAAAAGTGAAAGAGATTCGGTTGGCAAACATAGCGCGTGCACAGCCCGTCAAACCGTAGCCATTGACACGATCAGGATCTATGGTCCAGTGCTGCTCCGTCTCAGAATTGGAGACACCAATGTAAACGCCAGTGCGAGAACCGCGCAACTCCGAAGGATTCAAACCCGCATCAATTATTGCTTCATGAGTCAGTTCGAGTAAAATGCGCAGACAAGGGTCCATGCACTCGGCCTGCTTCTGATGCACGCTGAAAAATTGCTGATCAAAGTTCTCCAAGTCGATTTCCTTGATCTTTCCCAACCTGTCGGGCAGGCCATAAAGACCTATTGGACAGAACAGAAATAAAGAAATTTAATGCAAACTAGCAACACGAAAATATCAATAGACTTACCGCGCTCCCAACGTCTGGGGTCATCGTTTACCATGTCAACGCCATTAAACAAATTTTGCTTGAACTCCTCAATGGTGGAGCTCTCGGGCAGACGACCAGAGAAACCAGTAATAGCAACATCATCATTTACCATCTGCTGACGGGGCGCATAGCGACCGCCACCCAGGTCCAATTGGGGAGCGACGTGCGTAGCGGGATCAGCGGTGATTACTTCTTCGACGAAACGGGCTGGCATATTGACGGATGGGCTGCTGTTGTGGTTGTGGTTGGGTGGAGGAAGAGGGTACTGCTGGTGGTTGCTATTGTGGGCGGTGGATGTGTTGTGTGTTAGCTGCTCCTGAAAGGCGTCAGGTTGCTGCGAGTTGTCTTGTTGCTTTTTATTGCGACGCTTACGACGACGATTGGCTCGTGCAGTTTTGCCGTTATTTTGTGCGATGGGCGTGACAGCGTCAGAGTTGTTATTGTTGTGCTTGAGTGCAACAGTTTGTTGATCCACGGCTTGCAACAGTTTCTCGCTACTGCAAAACAAGAAAGGGTATATGATTTACTGTAGTGTGTCCAATGGAAAAAATATGTAGCATGGTTGTGGGGGCGCTTCTTAATTGCGCACTTTTGAAAGGCAAACACCAAACATAGCGCGGCAAAACAAAAATGCACGCTACTCATATAATTTAAGTATATTTTCTGATACACAAATTTTATTTTCAAACAGTAACACTTTTTTTTATTTATTCAGGGACAAAAACGTCAATTTCAAAAATCCCAAGTGTTTTTGATCTCAATTGTAATTGATAAAACGGGTAATAATCAAATGTATACTTTAATGATTTTCTAGTTTTAGTGACTGACTGACAAATCGCGATGATTACACGACAGTCTGTCTGTTTGAATCACTCCTCCTTTTTAATTATATAACACATATGGCTGAAGATTTATTGAATATATGTAATTCCATGTTTTTATTGCTGCATCTATCAATTTCTGGCAACTGATAGCAACAATGATTCGGTAATTTTTAATATTCTGCTCATTAATCGTATTTGTATGTATTTGTTTGTATTTGAAGTCTATTTAATGTTAATGTAACTCCATCATTATAAATGAATATGAATGTTTTTCTGCACTTCTCTTATCAATATGTATTGAACAAATATGTATATTTTTTATTACTGTTAAATTTTGTTATGATTTTAATGTGCCTACAAAAGAACTGGAGTATTTACGTGCACAAGAGGGGTACATTTTTGGATTTTTTTTTAACCAATTAGAAGATATTTAGGTACATTTATACATGCATACATTTGCAAATAATTTGGAGTATTTAAACCATCAGCAAGTGAACTAACAGCGTCTGTTAAGGTTTTGATTTACTTTAATCAATATCAATTGTTGAAGGGCAAACAGGAATACCCTTATCATTTCTTTGCGACTTAAAAATCAATTTTTGTCTTTTTTGAATTATATTCTGTTAAGTTACAGCCGTATTTTAACATATACATATGCCAAAGCTTTCAGGTCTGTTATGTTAACTTCTGCGTCTGTATTAATATTAGGCCCTGCCGCAAAGCTTGTGCTGTTGCGCTCTCAATTAACCGGCCGGCTGTACCACAGTGGAAAGTTAGTATAGAAATTGAAAATCAGGTGATTTCTGGATAAGCTTACGCTCATATGGGAGGGTAGACATCATCGTTTTATTTGTATAAGTTTAAGCTTTGCCGCTGTCGTTGTTCCCTCATTCGCGTGATGTACATGTGCATGCTTTGTAAGTATATACATATACATAGCTTATATATGAATATAGTTATATACACAAATAATTTATATATGCATGTAGATAACAGCGGGAAACATATGGTCACAGAGCATAACAGTGCAACAGAAACTATGTTAAGTTAGCAACGGCGTCGTTACTTACAGAAAATGCTGCTTTCTTATTCGCCGACAAAACTCGTATGATGCGCAAAACAGCACAACACAACAAAAGTAAAGAAGTGGTTGGTGGTGAAGTAAAAGCAGTAAAACCGCTGCCTCTGGCAAATTTGAAATGTACATACATACATATAGATTGCACGAGAGGCCAAGAACAAGAAAAAGAAGTACAAGAAATGCCAAAGTCGGTCGCAAATGATGTATGTTTGTATGTACATATATACATATGTATATTGATATAAGTATGTATGTATGTATATGCATGTTTCAAATGCCGGCTAGCTAAACTCGTACCAATACAACAATGTTTATGTTTATTATTGTTGATAGCTGGTACGAAGGGAGAGAATGGCAGAGTCGGCATTCTAGCCCAGATCCAGCGTCAAAACTGTCAGCCAGCGGTTTCAGCAGAATTTCGAACGTAAGCCGGCAAGCACACAAAATACACACACACACACGCCAATAGCGCGTGTACATTTCTATAGTGAGATAAGGTGGCGTGATTTCTCAAGTTCATTGAAGTATGTACAATGTTTTTTTCCTACTTTTTGAGACAGCGTCGTCATCTGTGGTGTGTTTTTGTTTGCAGTCGTTTCCAAGCAACGCCTCGTTTTTGTTTGCATATTGAACTGACCGCCACATCCGATATCCTTACTTGACGTTTGTCATCTATTTGTGTGTGTATGTATACGCATATCGATTCCCAATTTTCAGGTGGGCCACATCAGGCCACCACCACATTAGTAAATTGCGTCATTAGACAAATGTGTAAACAAAACGATGTGCAAACTAAAACTATCAAAGCCTCACCTCCATTGCCACCCTCACCCACCGCCAACCCATATTTATATAAGTATGCATGTAATATATACATACATGCATATCTACATGTGAACATTTACATATGTACATACATATATGAACACATAATAACATGCATTTTATATGCGTCAGTAGTTTGTGGGGTTGGCTGCTTGCACAAGTTAAGGGCGTTCGCACTTTACATTGTTTATTTATGCACTCGGAAATTATATTTTAAAAGATTATCGATTGGCTCATGCTCCATACCATACTGCTACTGTGCCAAGCTGCGTCTTGCATGGCGCGTGCCTTTCAAGTTCAATGGCGACGATAAGACTTGGCTAGTTAGTCGTCGTCAAGTTGGCTGCTGATAACACCGCAAAGTACCTGATGATCTGTCTCCTCGGAAATGCTGAGACTGCTACCCAATGACAAGCCGGAAGGTAGATTAGCGCCCGACACTTGTAGGCTTTATAAATTTTCCAATCAGCAGTTAGTTGTGTGCGTTTTTAAAATGTTGTTTATTCTTTGTCTAATGGAAATCGTACAAATAAAGTTGACACGCTGGTCAATTAGCGGCTGAAACCCTATCAAATACATATTAAATACTAAGAAGCCCATAAACATTTATAGAACGTTGTCGCCAGTTGGGCTTGCCCCTTTTCCCGCAGCCCGCAGGGCGGACTTCACAAGTTGTTCCTATGGGCCGAGTGTATATGTAGACACATTTGTGCGTGTGAGTGTTTGAGTTTAGATATCGTACCGAGAATTTGGACTCTAATTAGTAAGCGTGCAAGTGTACAAGTGTAAGCGACGCGAAATTTATAGCAACTGTGAGTGAGGTGAGGAAGGAAGAGACACTCCGACACTCAGTCGGGGTTGTGGGCGAATGCGCTTTGTTTTCCTATAAACACTTTGGAATTTTTTGTGACTACCAAATGTCTGAAAGGTCAAGCTTTATACACGAGGTAGTTGCCTGTAGAATAAAAATGTATAAATACATACAAACATATGTAGCAATTTTGGTAATTGAAATTTTTGTTGTATAAAAGTTTTTTTGCGTTTTTCAGCTATTCTGAATAAATTTTAACTGAACTGTTAAAACTGTTCTTCTCTGGACTTCTTCTGTTATTCCCTATTTTATATGTATGTACATATATAGTATATTATTTCTTTCCAAGTTTTCAGTTTTGCGAAATTGGCTAGGAATAATTCGCCAGCAACTGTTCGGAACCATTTTTATTTTCATGTGGCGCTAAAAACCTGCCTCATCCTTCTCTTTCGCGCCCACACACAGACACATACACACAAAGCCTATTCCTGCGGCTGCCATTTTGTTCTTTGTACATACCTTAAAATCAGGCGATTTCCTTTTACAGCTGTTCTACAGCTTTTTGCGGAAAGTTTCTCAAATTCAGTTGCTTTGTGGGGATATGTCAAAAGTCACAAGACGGTTTTTGGGCAGTAGGTCCTTTCTGCTTTAAAAACCGCTGTGTCCTTTATGCTGAGTAATTGCCAAATCAGGTCTCAATATTAACCGATTGACTTTATTGAGCACCTCACAAAATTGTTTAGCACTTCAAAGTTGTTCTTGTTCGTAGAGTTCTTTGGCTTTTTTGCAAAATATTTTTCCACTTTTTGCTATTCACTTTAAAATGAGAGGGCGGTAGACAGTTTCAAAGCGTAGCGGTTTTTGGGCAACTACCGTTAATCTGCACGACCTACGTTACGTTCACGTAGTGACTGAGACACACTGATACCGGCTGCTGCTGCTGCTCCTATAGCTGCGAAATTTGAATAACGACTAATAGTCCAGCCATCAGGTGAGCATCCGTTTATATACCGCCCGGCTGGCAGCGGCTAAAAGCTCTCCGGGCACAGTGAGAGCGAAACGCGTGTCATGGTAGATAAGCAGCGATGCCGGCGTTGACGTCGACCGTGACTGCGATGCTGGCTGGAAAGCTTTGCCTCGTTTTTGTGCAGGGCCGCTAAGCTCGCGTGCTGTAAACGAATGTTTCGCTTGTTTTTGTTGGCTCTCTCGCTCTGAACTCTCTTCGTTACAGTTTATGCGACTGATGGCTGCATTTAATTTGAAATTAAAGGGAATCGTGGATGGATGCTGATACATAAGTGTTCGTAACCGTGCACGACTGACCGACTGATCGGCCGGCCAGACATCGGACCACTTTTTATATATGTATGTATATTTAAGTACGTGTATATGTAGCAGTATAAAGCATTAATCGTCTAGCAGATCAGTTCGTTGATAAATGTTTATTATGAAGTGGAAGTGCAGAAGTTATCACTTATGAGCACTGTACAGAACGCACTTTGAAATTGAACAGTTCATAGAGGTTATAAATTATCGTAGAATCCGCGAGGCACGGGCACGCGCATGAAAAGGAAAACAAACAAAAAACTAACGTGTATGCATGCATACAAACATACATACATACATATATACATAAGTACAATTTAAAGCTAATTTATTAAAGATTACTCTATGTTAAGGTATGTTAAGATGAGACTACTAAAGTCGCTTATACAGCACCCGCTCAATTATCTGTAATGTTTGAGCCTCTTTAAGGAATGTGCGATGTGTACCCGCCACTACATGCATATCGATTTGTGCGCTACAGATCTGAAAGGCGAATGAGTGGTGAGATTAGAAAGAATTAAATTCAAGGCTAAGGAACTCACCTCCTTTAGGCCATAGTCCTGCGCCATAATGGCATTATGCTCGGCCGATTTAATGAGAACGACATCACTCCGCAGCTGCTTCGCACCCTTGTAGCTTTCGGAGAGCAACAGCTTTTGCTTAAACATGCATGCAGCTTTTTTGATCTGTTAACGAAAGTCGAACACACATACATAAATGTGGATATTGCTGCTGCAATCAAAGTTGGAACTTACCACTTCTTTGGTTTGTTGTGTGTGCGAAGCTAAAGTATCCGCGAGTTTGTCAAGCTTAGACGTCCAGTTATCCACACCGTCCAGCGTTTGCAACAACTGTAGTTCGATAAAAGCAGAGTTAATAAAAACTGAGTATTTGTAAAATTTAGAATGGATTGAAAAATCGAACAAGTTAAATAATGTCCATTTATGTATACATACATATCTAGTATTTAGAAGTAATAATAATAATAATGAATGAAGTCTTACCTACAGACACTATGCAAAGTACACTAAATTAAATGCTCTGACGGTCATTTCTTCTTTTTCTTAAGCAATCATCAAATCTAAACTGTTATTTGCTTAAGAAACTCCAAGGTGAATTCATTACAATACTTTCATTTAATTTATTAATATAATTATAAGATTTGAGAACTTATTCAATCCCATCATAAATTTAATTAAACGATTCAAATTTATAACAGTTTGCTAAAAACTAATGACAAAATGATTTTTCTAATCGGCCTCTACTTGATGATAACATAAATACAGATTGTGTTTGTGTACCCCAATATCCTTTACAAAAAGGATATGCAATTAAATGATATGGTTGGTAACGCACCTGATTGTAGTCCACATCGGCCAGTAGCGCTCCAAAGTAGGCTAACGTCATAGATTGCTGTTTGTTGAGGTCGTCTGTTTGCTTCTTCGCCTCCTGGACATATCCACTTGCCATAGTTGGAGCACCATCCAGCATTATAACCTTGACACCATACCGACGCTGTTCCAAGGCCACGCCTATGGCATGAGCCAATAAACATCCGTAGGAGTAGCCGACAATGTTGTAGGGACCTCGTGGCTGCAGCTTTTGAATCTGACTTAGATAATAGGAAACACAGGCGTCTATTGTGTCCAGAGGCACTTGATCAGTGCACTGCAGCCCATAGGCGGGACAAGCGAGGGAGGCTGCCAATGTTTCCACGGCTATTGTGAACCCTTCGATGGGTGCTAGGAAAAATACAGCTGGCTCGCTGCTTGATTTTGTTGCCTTGGTCTGCAGTCGAACGAGCACCTGCTGTGGTAATACTTCCTTGGCGAATACCTTACGGGTTTCATCAGTTTGGGCGATGGCCGTTTGTCCAGCATGCTGTTTGGCGGGGGCAGTGGGCTCGGTTGCCAGTGTTGCCGGCTCCTGTGCGTCAATTTGCTTAAGGGCACTAAAAGTGAGCTGGCGAATCTCCTGGGCAGAAAGAACTAGATCAAAGTGTCGCTCCAGCGTCTGTTTAATCTCCGTACTCATTAAGGAGTCCATGCCCAAGTCGAAGAGAGTGGTTTTATCCTGAATGGTTTTCACATCACGCAAGCCCATAATATTTGCAATGGTTGCAATCAGACTAAGACGATTGGATTGCTCAGTCTTCCGTTTTTCGGCCACGACCATGGAGGCCAACACCGGATGTGGCTGTTGCAGGAAAAAATCTATAGTTTCGAGGCATGAACGCATGCGCTGAGGTAGTGTGCCGCCGACTACAGTGTCGTTATTGCCCATGTGCTCAATAATAAGGCCTGTGTCACCAATAGCGCCCCACTGTATGGCCGTGCCAGGATAGCCTTCGGCTTGTCGCTGCTCGCATATGCGTTCCATGGCGGAATTGGCCAGACCATAGTTAGTTTGTCCAGCGTTACCGCGACCACAGGATAAAGAAGAAAAACAAACGAAGTAGTCTAGTGCCGTGCACATGCTTCGTGAGCATTGGTCAAGGTGTTGGGTAGCGCGCTGTTTCGATGCCGTAACCAGCTCGAAATCCGCAGGAGTTTGCTTTTCGAAGAGTGCGTCCCGCAGTACAGCAGCCAGGTTGAAAATGCCGCCCACCAATGCCAATTTATTGCTGGTTTCCAACAGCTTCTTGGCTCCCGTTGCCGTCGTCACGTCATTAGTGTCAACGACCACCTTTACGCCACGCTCCTGCCAACGACGAATCATAAGAGCTTGGTAACCGGTATGGACACCCGAACGAGAGGTAAGTACTAAATAGCGAGCACCACGCGAGACTAGCCAGTTGGCCAGCTCCAAACCAAAGCCACCGAGACCTCCGACTAGTATGTAGCTCTTTTCTGGATGCATGTACGTGCGCGGTATGGCATTGATTAAACGTGTTTTGGGCAGCGCGTCCTGTTGCTCTTCGTTGCGAACCTTGATGACCACTTTGCCTATATGTTTTCCAGAGGCCATAAAGCGAAAGGCCTTTTCTATCTCATGATCCGAGTACACAGTTGTGGGCAATGGTACTACAGCACCGTGCTTGATGCCGTCAGCCACCAGAGTAGCAACTTGTTTTTGTATATTTTCTTCGCCCTCCATTACGCTGTCGAGCAGGATACCGTGAAAAGAAGTATTTTTTAAGAAGACCGACATTCCAAGCGGATTGTTGTTGCTTAAATCAAACTTTCCAATCTCAAGAAAGCGACCGTTGATGCCGAGACAGCGAACAGAAGCTTGCAGTTTCTCCTCGGCTAATGAGTTCAGGACCAGCTCCACACCTTCACCATTCGTCTCGTTGAGAATCAACTGCTCGAAGGATGTGTCACGTGAGTTGCCAATGTTGCGCGCCTGCAACTTGGGGAAGCGCTTCAGCAGAAATTCACGCTTTTCCTGGCTACCTACGGTTGTGAAGACGGTTAGACCGTGATGCAAGGCTACCGAGATGGCTGCTTGCCCCACGCCGCCAGAGCCAGCGTGAATAAGAATACGTTCGCCCTTTTTCATCTGGCCGCGCACAACAAGAGCATAGTAAACTGTGGCATAGACACAAGGGACTGTTGCGGCCTGCTCCATGCTCCAGCTATCTGGTATGCCCCACATTAAGCATTTATTGGCAAAGCAATCGGTGGCCAAAGACTTGGCCGGAACCATGGCCATTATTCTACGTCCTTTTGAGTCACGACCGGCAAACTCCAGACCCAGCACACAATCCTGATAGGCCAAGTCACCAGGTAATGCGTCCACGCCCAGCTTGCCAGATGCCAGCATCACATCGCGAAAGTTAAGAGGAGCATAGTAAACCGTGCAAGCTTCGTATTTCGAGCTGTCTACGGACGTACATGGGCTCTCTATCCATTTAAGTGAGGAAAGATCTCCTTTGACCAGTGTATTCACATAGGCTTGCTTAACGGGCAACAGCACTTGTTGTGGATCGAGTGGTAGGTGTCGATAAGTGCCCCATTGCCCATTTTTAAAGACATTGAATGTCAAATCCTTGGAGAGCTGCTCTTTGTAGAACTCGGAGTTGACTGAAAAGCTGGGCAATCCTTCGTCTTGAAGGTGGTAAAGACGCAAGAGGTTACCGCCTGGCTCACGGCGCAGGCAATTCATGAGGCCCAAGGCTCCTGAGTTCGGCTCACCCTGAGAGATAATATAGACGATCCGTTGATCGGCGAGCGCCTTGACCAATGCACTCTTCAACTCTGTGACCCATTTAAAGTTAGCGCTGGCAATGTTGACAATTGTGGCCTGTCGGTCTTTACTGTTTTGCGCCTTTCGAGCTAATACGAGAACACGATCACTGCCATAGCTTTGCTCCAGCACGGCTATAAGCCCCTTTTTTCGAATTAGATTCAACCCTGTAGAATTATAGAAGCTGGCACTCTCCTCGAGTAGAAGAAAGCCGCCATCTGGCTTTATTGTGGCAATGCTGTTTTCCAGGCATTTTTCAGGGTCCCTTTGGCGGCTGAGCAGATCAACGGAGTGCAAAAAGTGGCAGTTCTGCTCCACAGCAGCGTTGGCTATATCGTTCGCTACGATACGAACCCCCTTTTCTGCCAGGAATGCACCAAGCTCTGCTTCATTCCCGCTGTTGGTGGCAACCGCAACGTCACCTACAAGGATGGGTTCATTCTCAATCAACTGCAAAAGCTTGGCTGCATTGAGGCTGTCTAGACTACGTGCTCCAGCAATTTCTATGCCTTTCAGCTTCAAAGCACCGCCAGTATTCTCTATTATCAGCTGCATGGCAACTGTTAGAGCAGTGCTTTTGGAACGCTGTTGATCTTCATGTATACCAAATTGATTAACTAGAGGCACAAAGCTATAGCGTTCCAAGGTCGGTTCTGCTTGGGTGCCGGTACGCCTTTGCGTTTGTGCCGTTTTCATCTTATGTATTTCGATGCCTCCACATTTAACTACTGAGATGTTACGATACCAGTAAACAGGGAGTACAGAGCTGCCATCCTTTCCCTTCGCATGTTGCCTAACAAGCTCCAAATGTTTCTGGGGATTGATAACAGCACGCTCGATGCCCGTAGGCACATATAGTTCACGAATATTATTACTGAGTATGCGAAACTGCAGCATAGTGTCCATGAAGCTTATCCAATTATCTACCCATTGCAAGTGACCTTTGACAGCTGCCGTATCTGCGTCGACAATACCTTGGAAGATACCATTGTAGTCGTAGCCGCGCAATCGCAACTCCTTGTAGATATCTTTGGTGCACAATTTAACACCCCCGGTACAGCCAGGTAAAGCACTTAGTTGGAGCTCTTCTTGGGAAATATTTTCAGCCTGTTTTAGTTTTCCTGAGACTACTAAGCTGTTTCCCTCACATATCTCGAAGCTTCCATTCCCCTGGAAGTAGTTGAGCGTTAACTTGACCGCTGGTCCCGTTGTGTTCAAAATGGTGGCCCGATGGAAGACCACATCCTCGAATATAACGGGGGTACGCAAAAAATCGTTGCCCTGTTGCTGCGCAAACATCATCCAGGCCAGAGTCATGTATCCGGTGGCTGGGAAAAGTATACGTCCATCGACAGTGTGCCCGCTCAGATATGCATGCTCTTCCTTAGTTAAATCGAGTTCAATGCTCAACTGACCCGCTTGACGTCCGCCTTTGAACTTTGGATAGCTCCACTTTTGTGTGTGGTCCCATCCGATAATAGAATTAAGCATGGGGGTTCCGCGCGACACTGGATAGCTGATGGGCCGTTCTAGATTTAAGACTTGAGGCTGAGCACCCGCAGCATAGAGCTTTCCTAAATTGCTCAGCAAAAACTCGGCGTTATTCGGGTGCCGACGCTCCATTAGACTTACATAGTTGACCTGTGGGCCCAGCGTTCGCAGAATAGCTCGGAAAAGTCCATGAGGAGCAATTTCTAATACAATTGCGTTCTTGGGTATGTGCCTTATGGCCTCATTAAATAGCACTGGGGAGATCAGGTTGTTGATAAAGTATGCAGCCGATGCCATGCGACAATCGGGTGTATCCCATTGTTCCTCAGGCACACTGGTACTTAGCCACCTCTCCGAACGTGGCTTGGGTTTCGTTATGAGACGCTCCAGATTTTTACGCAGCATAGGCGCCGCAGCTTCAATATACCTGCTGTGAAACGCATAGCCACCAGATCCAACAGCACGCACGAACACGCCTTCGGCCTCCAGTCTAGTTATGGCCTCATCCATCGAGTCCAGCGGACCCGACACTGTACAATTGTCGTCGCTATTGTGACACACGGGGTAGCAGTCCGGGGGCAGGTGATCGCTGATCTTATCCCAACTTAGACCCACCGCTGCCATCTTTCCTTTGGGTAATCCTGGCGTCTCCAGAACGCTCTTTCCTCGCCAGTAGGCAGCTAGAACAGTTTGCTCTGCCGTCAAACACCCATCCATGTAAGCGGCTGCCAACTCCCCCGCCGAGTGCCCAATAATGCCATCTGGCTGGATTTTTAAAGTCCTAAGCAAGTCTGTCAACGCCACCTGCACAGCTGAAATGGACACAAAGGAATAGAGCATGTTGTCGAAGGTGCGTTCGGTGGAATTCATAAGAACGGAAATGAGATCAAAGTCCATTTTGGCCAACACCTCAGCACAATACGTAATGGACTTGTGGAAAACTTGTATTCCCATCATCTCGCGAGCCATGCTTGCCCATTGGCTACCCATCCCTGCGTACACAAACCAAATTGGGCGTGGCTCCTCTTCATATACGAGTACTTCTTGCTTCACGGCACCAGAAGAGCTTAGAACGGCGTAGCCACGGTACGGATGCAATGGGATGGATGTTGAGTGTATATCGTTTATGAGGGCTAAGAACTCGTCGTCCCGACAATGCGACGATGCTGCATCTAGCAACATTTGCACCGCCTCTGTAGTGCGTCCGGAACACACCACCAGCTTAAGGCCTTCAGAATCGTTTACTTTTCGAGGCGTTTTGCGTTTTCCGTGCGACTTTAGGATAACATGGGCATTTGCACCACCGAAACCAAATGAGTTCAGCCCCACAATGCCACCTTGCCAAGGCGTGTTACGGCTAACCACCTTAAGACGGCCCTGCACTAGAGCAGGCACAGCTGGGTTCGGCGTTTTGTAATGCAAGTTGCTGGGTATCACGCCCTCCTCCATGGCGATGATCATCTTGGCAAGTGCACTCACACCTGACGCAGGTTCCGCATGCCCCATGTTAGACTTTACTGATCCAATAAGAAGCGGCGACTGGCGCTTACTATGACAGAAAAAATTGCTGAGCATATTGGCCTCCTGATCGTCACCCACCGGTGTTCCGCTTCCATGTGCTTCCACATAGACTACCTCATCGGGACTAAGACCAATTTCACTGTAGGTTTCTTTTAACAGCTGCAGCTGCATGCGACCATCGGGAAAGGTTACCCCCTGCTCCTTGAACCCATCAGTATTGGTCCGCACATTGAGAAGTGTGGCATAGACACGCTTCGCGTGCTCACTCCGTTGAAGTAACACCACGGCACATGTGTCCGCGCGCGCATAACCATTGGCAGCTGCATCGAATGTCTTGCATGCGCCATCCTGACTGACAATGCCCAGGCGCAGAAACTGTAGAGCAAATATTGGTTTCAATATGAGATTTACGCCCGCCACTACGGCGTAGTCGCAACGACCGGAGCGCATATCGTCGTAGGCGTGCGCCAGGGCCACCAACGAACTGGAGCAGGCTGTATCTACTATAAAGCTGGGGCCCTTGAAGTCGAATGTGTACGAGATGCGATTGGCGAACATAGCGCGGGCACATCCCGTGAGGCAATAGCCGTTTATGCTGCTCGGCTCCATGTTGGGTATCTCGTGTTCTGTCTCTACAAAGGACAGTCCAATGTAGACACCGGTGCGGCTTCCACGCAACTCCACTGGGTTAATGCCCGCATCAATGATGGCCTCATGTGTCAGCTCAAGTAGCATACGCATGCAAGGATCCATGAGCTCTGCCTGCTTTTGATGAACGCTGAAGAATTTATCGTCAAATTTTTCTAAATCTTCGTCTTTCATTTTGGCCATACGCTCGGGTAGCCCATAGATCCCTATCGAAACGGGTCGGAGAAGTATGCGATGCGGATCGATAATATAGATGTCGACTATTTACTCTTAAGCTTAAGCTTACCTGCCTCCCAGCGTCGCGGGTCGTTTGTAACCATGTCGATGCCATTCAGCAAATTATGCCTGAATTCCGCTATATTACTACTCTCTGGCAGCTTACCTGATAGGCCCGATATCACTATGTCACCAATATCCTGTTCGTTTGATGCATTTTTCAGATGTGATTTCTTCTTATCCGGCATTTTGTGTTCTGTGGTTCGGTTCGGTGTGCCGGAGATCTAACGCGAGTATCTGAAGAAATTTAAAATTTGCGTCATATAGTTCGAATGAGAAAATACAGCTTGTTAATAAAAAGCCACCATTTGTGTACGCTATTCTATAACACATATGGATACACATTTGACGATCTCAAATTTTCAAAAATTATTTGCGCATTCTGAAAAAAAGTGCTCAAGATCACTAAACTTCATAAACCTATAAATGCTGTTTTCACATTTCAAAAACTACATCAGCTAACTTGCACACGTAATTTATATACAATTATCTAATTTTGCTTGCGCATATAATTCAGTGCTGGAAGCTTGTCTGGGTACAGGGTATTTCACTGTCGTTCTCTCTTCTTTAATATTGATCATATTATGTTAAAAAGTTGTGTGTACAAAAATTCGAAGTTATTTCTTTCTTAGGCAATATCTTTCTATAGCTCCGATAACTGATTTTCTTATATCGTTTTATTTAGATCTGTTTTAATATTCATCATATAAATGTTAGCTAAGTAAAAAGGTTAAAAGGTTGTATGTTAAAAATTCAAAGGTTACCTTATTTCTTGGTCCTTACTTTTTATAGCTCCGATAACTGATTTTCTTATATCACTTTATCTTGTTCGTCTTATAAAACTAGTTTAGTTAAATGCAACAAAAGTCATAGATTTTGTGAGGGAGATAAATTCTAGCTGGATATCCATTCATTCCTAAATTTGTTGTATGCTGTGCAATGTATATACTTTGTAGGGTATACTATATAAGGGGCCGCTAATTTGAAATTCAGGTTCGGGAATTCTAATGTAACGGGCCAATATGTATAGATATGTGTTAATTTATTGTATTCAATCATCTTTTCTCCACTTTTAATATTAATATTGATCTAAACTATATATAAAAGGCATAAAAAACGTCAAGGTAATTAATTGGTAAGAATTAATAATCAAAAGAATTTCAAAATTGCTTTCCACAAAAATGGTTCTATACAAAATATGTGTAGTTGAAAAGAGTTAAATACAATAGAGCAGACAAAAAAAATTGAGAAATATTTTATAATTATAACAAGAGAGAACGCTACAGTCGAGCAAGCCCGACAGTGTAATACCCTGTACCCAGGTAAACTTCCGTCACTGAGTTATATGCGCCCATAGCAGCAGCAAAAAGAGGAAGAAGAAGAGCGAAGTTGTTGCTGCAGTTTGGGAGGTTGTACTGGCGAGAATTTGTTTTGCTAATAATTGAATAAAATTTTGAACAACAGTAGACAATTATATATAAATTATGTGTGCAAAGTTTAGGTAGCATTTGAAATGTGGACGCTATTGACTGATTCTGTAGCGGGGGAAGGGGGGGAAAATTAAAAAAAATAAAATAAACTCGTCCTTTCTCGGACCTAGGAGAATCTGGATGCCAACTTTGGTTATTCTAGCTTTTATAGTTTCTGAGATCCTTGCGTTCATCCAGACAGACAGACGGACGGACATGTCTAGATCGATTTCTCTCGTCATGCTGATTCAGAATATATCTACTTTATAGGGTCGAAAAAGCTTCCTTCTGCATGTTACATACTTTGCACAAACCTAATATACCCTTTTTACCCTACGGGTACAGGGTATAAAAATAAACCTTTGGCGTGAAACAAACCCACGTCCACATCATCATTTATATTAATATTTTAATATTCAACTTAAAATTGAAGTGTACACACTTTAAATCTACTAAAATGCACGATGGTGCAAGACCGATGGTTAAAATAGTTAAATCTACGTGTAAATATTGAAATTTCCTGTACCCAAAGGGTGAAAGGCTGTACTAGTTTTGTGCGCATGTATGTAACACACAGAAGGAGGCGTGGCAGACCCCACAAAGTGTATATATTCTTGATCAGGATGAGAAGACGAGTCGATATAGCCATGTCCGTCTGTCCGTCCGTCTGTATGAACGCAAGGATCTCAGAAAGTATGAGCTAGAATAACCAAACTTGGTATCCAGGTTCTCCTAAGTCCGAGAAAGGACGAGTTTGTGTTTTTTTTCTGATGCACCCCTCCACTTCCCCGCAATTCGTGTTTTTTCCTATAACTTCCGTAATTCTCGGAATTTTGAAATCAATTTTGGTAGGTACATCCAGTTAGTACTAATGTGTCCGTGTGCCAAATTTTTGTGGAGAGTACAGGCTATTTTGCTGTCGGGCTTGCTCGACTGTGCGTTCTATCTTGTTTTTATCAGTGTACTTAAAAAAAGTTTTCATGTTAAGAATTTTCGAACGCTTGTACTTTCTCCGGCCTGGAAGGACTTCTTTTCACCCTTCGCTGATTAGAGGTATGTACAAGTATAACAATTTAGAGGAATAGGAATGGGTTTTCCCAACGAAGGGTCGCCAATTGTTAGACCTGTCACCATTTTGTTATATTTTTGTATTTTGCATATTGTCGCACTATTTGAACCGATATGGGCCCCTAGGGAAGCAAGCGCCTGATAAGCAACATTTTATGAATATACTTGTATATATGGTGTATGTATATACATACATAGTATACACATATATACATAAACAGTTCATTAAAAGTTTTGTATGTGGAAGCCACTTGCATTGATATTGATCGTATGACTAGCTGTTAGTTTGTTCCCCCGGCCATTGTTGTCAAGAGCACGACTGGGGCTGCCGCCGACATCTGAGATAATCTCGTACAGCACTCGATTGCGTGCTCACTGCACTGCACTGGGGGCGCTTACGACAGATAAGGTAGGCATCGGGCATCGGGCATCAGGCATCGTGCCTCAGGCCTCAGGCGGCAAGTCACATTCTAATGTAGTGGTATTTAAATCGATCGCAATATGCAGGCATTAGGTAACTGATTTCCATTTGGCTTTGTGTCTGGGCAGAGTTTGGTCATATATTGCATATGCAATGAGTACTGAGGAGCACAAGTCACAAAAGAAAATACGAGTGGTCTAAACACGCCACTTAAGCACTGCCGTTGCTTTAATGTTGCTTGATGGAAATGGTGCTGATTTATTGCACTTGACACACATATCGTATAATTAGTTATATGTGTATATATGTATATTTGAAAAAAATGGCACAGCTCAACTGTTGTCTTGGGCGATTGTTGTATTTTGGCGATTTGGTTCAGGCACTCACTTCACTTTTTTAATTAGTTTATGCTGGTCGATTGGCTGTATCCTTTGTTCACACTTGATTCGTTTCGATATCTGCGGACTGATCGTGTTGGTGTAGTCTCCTGTATCCTTGTTGAGCGCGTATCGCCTCGACTTGTTCCGAAACACACACTGAACACGTCGCGCACATTTCCAACTCTTTTTATGGACTCGGTTTGGGGGGGACTGTGTTCATTGACAGTCGCCAAGCTCGCCAAGTCGAAATGCATAAACATTTTTGCCAATACTAATTCGACTCAATGGCGAGCGATTTTGTTCATGCTACGACGCCAGAGTCGAGAATTCGAATATCGAGAAGCGAGCCTTTTTGAATAATTCATGCACAATTGCCATGCAACATTTGCCTCTACTTGTAAAAGTACCTAACAAAGCAAAAACTACGCAGATCCAATGCTCAGGTGTAATTAGTCCAAGTGTGTGCCGTTTTCATTGAACCTTTTTAGCGTCAAACAAAATACATGATTGCTGTTGCCCAAACCGCCATATTGACCCACTTCCCCGCCCAGGTTGGTTCAATGCCCCTGGCACAAGTGCGTGAGCCACTTTTCGCTTTTGCTTTCCGTTATTTTCTTAATTTGCGCAAACGTAATCTAGCCAAGCGATCCCGCAAAATCCCCGAGACACCGCGTTTAACGGTGTTGCGCCTCAGGGGTCCCCGCATCATTCTACGTGGTCTCGGCTTTCCAGCTCTAGCCCTGCGACGGATGGCGGCAGCTCTGATCATTGCTCGACGTGCTGACCCTCGTGCCCTTTTGGTTGCAACCTTACGGGTGAAACGCTTGGCGGCTGTTTTCGTTTTCTTTCCATGCTTTAAAGCCCCCAATGTGGCCCTGGGACGTTTAAGTCGCTTTCGATTTAGTCTCCGCACCTCTGGACGTCGCTTTGCAGGACGCTTTAACTTTGTCGGCCGGATACGTTTCGTGGCCGCCTGGCGAACGGAAGTGCGCGAACTACGCTTTGAAGGCACTCGATTCTGGGAAGGTTTATTTGCCTAGAAATATATATTCAAAAAAAAAATATATATATATAAATAATAATTTAACAATTTAAGACATGTAGTTAATAAAAGCCTAGTCAGAAAATGCAGAGGTTGCGATAACAGACCACATATAGAATTGTGCTTGGTATGTTTAAATATATGTGTATAGTCTATATGCCATTTCATAATCCCAAACCCCCGCAAAACTTACTTCTCTAATGAAAAGATAAATAATATATAGCAGAAGCATTTTAAAAGTAATATTCAAATTAATTTATGCATTGGCGTATCAAATCTCTTCTTACAACTTTGTCCCCCAAATTAGAAATAGTGGATTCCCGCACACAAAGGCATAACACGGAAAAAACTGGCACTTGTTTCAAAAACTAACCCCCATCTTTCTGACTACTTCTACAATCATACTTCTCAAGAACAATTCATCAGACTTTGACTCTGACTTGACATGTTACTATTTAAGCACATCTGAAATACCTGGAATAACATTTGCCGATTTACAGTATAATTTTATACAAAAACAATGGAAACAATTTACCAGCAAATTTAAATAAAAGTTGCTTGTATGGTACAGTTGCTCCCAATGTTTCCTGTAATTCGGTAAATTATTTCTGTTAAAACATAATTTGTTAAAAGCACAATTATATTATAAGAGTAGTTCTACAAATTTCAGTTGGTTTTTGTTTCGTAAGCTACTAAATATTTTGGAAATATTTGATAATTATTATTTTGTTTATTTATTTGCAGCCTTCATTTCGTTCATTTTCCTTGAGAGTAATGGACTCTGAATTCATATAAAAGGCAGAAATGTGTACTGAGTTGGCCTCTAAAATGTTAGGGATAAGTCTGACAAATTTTGACAGATTATTATCAATTAGGTCTCAGTACAATATCTGGCCGCACTTAGAACTGTTTTCATGAAAATTATCCGTACATGAATGCCGAGCTTAAGCTGTCCAAAGTTCGTCATCAGCTAATCGCTTTCATCAGCAAACGAATTTGCCATTTTAAACCTGCGCCGAAACCTAATCAGCTGCCTTTTTTGCTCCAATGAATTATTTTTATACTCTTTACATGAAATGTACAGGAGTATATTAGGTTTGCGGGAGCTGAAAATGTAACAGGCAGAAGGAGGCGTGGCAGACCCCACAAAGTATATATATTCTTGATCAGCGTGATAAGACGAGTCGATCTAGCCCTGTCTGTTGTCTGTCCGTCTGTCCGTCCGTATGAACAGCTGGATCTCAGAGACTATAAGAGATAGAGACACAAAATTTTGCACAAACATGCCTTATGTGTGTACGCTATACGAGTTTGGTTTATGTTTTTGATTCCCCCCATTTGCCCCCTTTGGGGGTTTTCCCGATTTTCCATTCGTATAATCGCCTATATCTCGGAGACTATAACACCTAGGAACACCAAATTTTAGTCAAAGATGCTTATGTGTTTTTTGGAATTTCCCTCCCTCCCCCCTCAAATCGTAACTCCCGTAATTCTAGGAATTTCAAACTCATTTTGCAAATACCCCCAGTTAGTTATTATGTGTCCGTATGCCAAGTTTCACTATGATAGATCGATTTAACAAGAAGTTATAGCCATAAATGTATTTGATGCCCACGCGCTGCCCAAGCGCTGACCGCAGCTGTTTTTGATGATGCTTTGGTTGGCTGCAAACATGCTTACACAGACACGAATAGACGCGCATAAACATACATACACTCACATAGAGGAAATTGCTATGTAAATGTGCAACTATACACCATTTACGTGAGTTCGAACACCAAGAGAGGTAAAATCGATCCAATTTTTTTTTTAATTTTCTTAATTTTTTTTATTTTCTAAAATTATTGTAAACATATGTACAGAGAATTTCAAAGTCGGGACACCCGACTTTAGCTTCTTTACTTGTTTCAGTTCAAAATGTATAAGTTTAATTTACTTCATGAATTATTCAAAAGAACAAAATTTATATGTTCCATTGAATTTGATGGAATTTGGAATTTGTGTACATAATAAAAACGACTGTTTAATATTAGTATATGTACAAAAATATTAATAGTTAAAAATATCCCTAAATATAAATTCATCATATTTATTATTATTGTATTTGATAAATAGAACTATATTTTCGCTCACCAATTCAAGGCGCCTTATGGTTTTCTTTCCTATTTCCGGCGGTATCCGCTTGACATGATTACTTTGCATGCAGGTCTTGGCCTTCTTGCTCCTAAAATTAAATGGCACACGGACACGCTGATCGCTCAATGACAGTATTCCTAGATTCATGCCCACCTCCAGAGCAAATTCCACAGCACGCTTGAGCGTGCCGAAGGGACTAACGTGCTCATTTAGGACGATATCCTTAATCTGATCGACCAAGTTGTCAACAGTCGTGCCTGCGGGAATATACTAAGTAGTTGTCATCCACAAAAGATACATTTTACCTGAGCTTACACAAATCCGGCTGGCGACTAAGCAGGTCCAATATATATGGCAACAATGATGACGTATTTTTTTCCATTTTCAATTTTGACGAAATAAGTTTAGAGATTAATGCAAAATATGTTTATGTGTTTTGGAGCAAACTTTTGTGTACGTACTAACAGTGTATTATATCTACGCCTATACATGTTCTGAATAAACATTAAACGCCTACTGCGCTATTTGTAATGAAAAATATTTAGAATGAGAAGAATTAATTTTAAATATCTATCAAGCTTGCTTCCTACATATGAGCCTCGTTGGCGTAAAACAATTTTAAGAGGAAACAGACAGTCTTTGTTTCGTTGCTTTCTGGTGGCCATTAATACTACGTTCACATATGCAAATGAGTTGCGCAATAATTCAGACTTACGAGATTCTAGAGATTCCAGTACATCATTAATATAATTTAACATCAATTTAAACCAATTAGAATTCTATAGTAAAATGTAGGAGCTATGCGCGTGACAATAAACGTATTTACATACACATGCACACGAATTTCCAAAAGCATTTGCCATACAGATTCATGTATACTTTCAAGATTCGGAATTCATATTTAATAAAGTACACCTATAAACGCGATTACTCCATATTATGTATAGAACTCATTCTAGCTCGAAAAGTCATCTACTTGTATAAGAATATTTATAGAAGCTAATATGTTCGCCGCAACTTTGAATGATCGCTCACACGTTATCTCTAAACTTTCTTAGGAATGTAATGGAATATTTCGCACTTCTCCAAACAAGTGGTAGACGACTATAGCGTAGGTGTATCAGAAAGTATACAGACGAGCATATGTCTAATATGTATGCTTCTTCTTAATTAGCAAAACGAGTCAAGTTGATCCAGTTAGTTCCTTACTTTATAAGTAAACTCTCTTATTATTCATAGACCGCCTTCCTTATTATATCCCCTATTTCCAAAGACTCTGAGTAAAATGAGTTTGTATAGTGCTTAGGTCTAAGTGAATAGTTTCTAATCAGCATAACGTAGCGTATAGATACATATATTGTCCGTCTGTCTATCCTTATGAACAGCAATAACTTTTAAGCTGATCAACTATTTCAAATAATAAATAGGGTCGTAGGGTCCATATAGTGGTTCCATTTGGTGGTCTCTTTTAAAAAATCAAAACAAAAAATTATATACAAGTATAAGTTTCATATTTTATATCAATCGATCGAAGCAAAAAATCACGAATTCAAAATTTGACTCGTTTGTTTATAAACATGCCAAGGCCAAAATTCGTACTTATAAATTTTGTATAATGAACTAAAACAATCTGAGGAATCTGTCCTGTTAAATTCCATCGTTATAGCTCAACAACAAACAATTGATAGCCATAAATGTAATCTCTGTCCATGCCCTGTGCGGCAGTTGTTGTTGCTGCTTAGGTTTATTCCCGACGGAAATTTTTGCAATTCATTTTAAAACTATTGTCTTTAAAGTTTTTATTAAGAGCCGTATAGTTTAAAAAGTTATACAGTCATGTTGTTGATAATGCAAGGACAGCCACGACAACCTAGATTGGAAATGTACTGGCTAAGCTTTGCACCATTATTCGCCCATGAGAATTGTGTGATTTCCATTACCACGAACACGTCTCATTTCAAAATGCGGCACGGCGATGGCATGCCCTGACTTCTATTGATAAGAGGGTTGGCTGGCTGCCTGGCGAGACGCTCGAAAGTTTACAAAACAAAGATCGTGTGCCGCGCACGCCGCTAGAGTATAAGAATAATATTATTACCTAATACCTAAATACATATACAAACTATATATGTACTATGTACATAAGTATGTTCAAATACTCAACTGAGAATCTGTATGGTGTGTGTGTTCGGAAGTGCAGAGTCCCAAAAGCGTAAAAAAAATTTCATAACAATAACATTTCGGGTCAATTATTTGTTTGTTTTTGCAAAATTGTTCTTGAATAGCGCAGAGCAGCCCTTCGATGAATGAGTAAGAGGCGCCCTTACATATAGCGCATACGACCAGTTGCCCTTGAACAAAAGTTGATAACAGATGCTGATAACCGCAGCTTAATAGTTTAAAGCATTTAGCGGTGAATTAAAGGTGAGTTTCCGCAGCTTATTTATTGATATTTTCTTTTTCTATTTTTGCTTAATATAAAGAATTGTGCAAATTGCTGAGTCGTTGACGCTATGACGTCGCTGCATAGGAAACAAAAACACTAACGTCACAAGCACCGGTCAAAAGTTGCTGTGCATTAGCAATTTAATATTGCAATAAATAATCACAAAGAATCAGTCGCATGGTAATGCTCATAGCTTTACCACAACTTTGCCACGCAGATGTCCGCATTTTAGGCGCTCAAATGCCTTGGGTAGCTCGGCGAACTCAAAGCTGCTGTCGATGAGGGGTATGAGCTGAAAAGCAGGAGAAAATAACAAAATGAACAAATTTCAAATAGTAACACAGTACAACTAACACAAAAAAAAAATAGAAAATAAATTATTGCAGTTTTCAAAATCTCTAATAAATAGTTAAAATTGATTTAACAAGACGCGTTCTTGGTACCAACATATTTTTTTTTATCGTTTAATAATTTCTAATTTATCAGAACAAAAAGTACATTCCAAGTTAGGGTTGGTGGAATGGATAAGTTTTTATTTTTGAATTGATTGATTGTGTGATAGGTACCGACATGTCAAGTGAAAAGGTATATTAGAAAGTCTAATGTATGTAGAGGCATAAGGCAGCTTGTTAGGCCCTATTTATTATCACAATCCCAATACGAATTGATATATAAATGATCGCCAGTCCGTACTGAGCACCAAGAACTGTTGAACCGTAAAATCTGTTGCTCAGATCGGATCAAGTTCATTACAAAACATATATTATATACAAAATGCTGGCGTAGCATTGATCGGTTGAATTGCTGTTTTGAAAGCATTTTTTAAAATTACGATTTATTACGAAATCGTAACCGAATTTGGAATCGATGTGTCTTTTAAAAGTCCCATTTAAATCGGTTCATAAGGACTAAGAGTCGGTCTGTCGCGATTTTAACGTTTTACTCGTTCCATTTTCCATTATTTCTGCAAAATCGTTTGTTACTTGTATAAATGTTACACTTACCTTTTTATGCTGCACCAGACTCTGTAAAAACTCAATGCCATGTGATGCCGGTGCAAAGAATCCCCATTTAACCAAGCCGCCACGTTGTGTAATTGCCTTAGCATTGCTCTCTAATAAATCAGCTACATTTTTTAACAAGCCCAGGCCTAAGCCTTGCTTATCAATGTTGGCCAACAGCGGTGAAGAGAAGGTTATGTACTGTCGAAAGTCAAACTTTAATTGCGCCGCCTGCTGACTCCCCTGGCCGGCGCAATCTAAAACGATGTCGTAGGGTGCATAGTTGCAGAGAGTATCCATATCGGCTGGATTGTTATAGTCCACTACATGGTCGGCTCCAAGACAGCGCACCATTTCAACAGCATTCTCACTGCAGGTGGCCAGAACTTGTACACCTTGTGACTTAAGCATCTGTATAGCCAACGTTCCTACACCACCCGAGCCGCCAAAAACCAAAACGCGTTTATTTGCACCGCCGCCAGAGGATGTGGTGGCGCCGCACAAGCCACCAAGACGCCCTGTTATGTACAAGCCAGACCAGGCAGTTAGACCAGCGTAGAGCACGCTAGCAGCCTCGCTGTCATCAAGCTCCGTGGGGGCCGGCGCCAGCTGAATGGATAGGGAAAATTTGTTGAAACATTATTTTGAGAACATTATCATTGTTACTCACGCAATATGATGGCACGACAACGTAGTCCGCATGAGAGCCAGAGATTTGCAAGGGTACTACACCCCAGACCCTCTGCCCCAGCGCTAATTTCTCGCTATTCACTCCCATGCCCTTCTGCACCAGCTCTCCGCAGAACTCACGACCCAGCGTAAGGGGAAATTCGATGCCCTCGCCTGGTTGACAGCGTATTGTATTGAGCACTGTTGCTCCATAGCCTCTTAGCATTGCCAAATCAATTGGATTAATTGTGGTCGTGCGCACACGCACCAAGCAATCGTTGGAGCTGCGAATTTGTGGCATCCTTAGCTTCTCCGAAAGCTGCAGCTCGTCAATATCGCCATAGCAGTGTAATTGCCAGCCGCGCATCTTTGTCGATGCTTTTGGTGGCGGCGGCGGCGTCCGCTGTACACCTGTTGCTGCTGTTGTTGTTGTTCTAGATCCGACATAGCGTCCACTGCTTCGAGGGGAGCGCAAAAGCGTTCCTAACCAATTAATGGGCCTCATTTTGCAAACGCTGGTGGCTTTCATTATCAGCGCACGGACACTCTCACGTAAATAAACAAAAATAAAACAGCTGTGTTTAGTATTATATCTGGCGCTGTTCAACACTACATTTTTCAGTGCAAAAAAGCAAAACATAAAACACATCTCTAGCGCAATATCTTGTAAACTTGGTGAAAAACAGCAAAGTCAGTGCGACAATGGAACCCACACTTGACAATTATGCGCTTAGTTGTGAGCTCCTGGGCCACAGCATGGACGTGCGCACCGTAGCTGCCGGTCCCAGCTCTGCTGAAGGTCAAGCGATACTTTCTGGCTCAAGAGACAAGAGCGTCAAGCTTTGGAAGCCGATAGGGTGAGTGTTCCTTTAAAAAAATTCGCATGCCGTGTTTATTACTCTTGCCCACTGACACTTGCAGCAACGAGTACGTGGAAAGCCTGACAATGCAAGATCACAAGAATTTTATATCGTACATCTGCTTTCTACCCGCCGAGCAATGGATATGCACAGCCAGCAACGACGCCACAATTTGCATTTACAAGAAAGATGGCTACGTACCAATTTTGACACTGAAGGGCCATGGATCGACCGTGTGTACGCTAGCCGCTGCCCTTAAGCCGCGCAGTCTAATCAGTGGTAGCTGGGACATGACAGCGCGCGTCTGGAGCGTCGATGAGTCGGGCAATGTCTCGTCTGTAGAGCTGAAGGGTCACGAGGCGGCGGTTTGGGCAGTTGCCACACTGGTAACGCAACAGAAATACGTCACTGGTGGTGCCGACAAGTCAATATACTATTGGAACGAGAAGGGCGAGAAACTACGACTGTTAAAAGGACACACAGACTGTGTGCGTGGCCTTCTATCCCTGCCCGGCAATATGCTCCTATCGTGCGGCAACGACGCTGTCATACGGTATTGGAACGACGATGGTGAATGCGTGCGTCAGCTAAGTGGCCACACCAACTATATTTACGGTATGGCTGCAAATATAGCGTTGAGTGAGCATGTTGTTGTCTCCTGCGGAGAAGATAGCTCGCTACGCATGTGGAATGTGATCACTGGGCAACAATTGGGAGCGCCAATTTTGCATCCAGCCATTTCGGTGTGGTCAGTAACATGCTTGACTAATGGCGATATTGTTACGGGTTGCAGCGATGGTGTCATTCGAGTTTTCAGCCAAGTGCCGGAACGGCAAGCAAGCGAGGGCGTGAGAAAAGCCTTTACATTGGCAGTGAGTGCACGCGCGGCTGACATGAATCAGGAAATCGGTGGTATTAAAAAGACTGAGTAAGCTGTCATGCCAATCATATTGTATTACTGTATTTAAGATTCACTTTCTTACATAGGCTTCCTGGCCCTGAAGCTCTACTCACGAATGGCACACGAGAAGGTCAAACAAAAATGATTCGGCAACCGGATGGTGCTGTGAAATGCTATAGCTGGGAACTGGGGCAATGGAATTTAGTGGGGGATATAGTCGGGGCATCTGGGGGCACACAGACATCATCTGGCAAGAAACTGTTCGAGGGTAAGGAGTACGACTTTGTGTTTGACGTCGACATATCTGATACAGAGCCACCAATTAAACTGCCATACAATCGCGGTGAAGACCCCTGGCATGTTGCCCAGTCGTTTATACATCGTAATGGTTTACCACAAGCGTATCTTGATCAAGTCGCCAATTTCATAGTGAAGAACTCCGAAGGTTCCACGATTGTTGCAACCTCAACATCAAGGTTGTATACCCATCGTATTCCGGACTCTACATAATATGCTTAACAGCTTAAATGTTCTTTGTAGCGGCTACCAGGATCCATTTACTGGGGGCTCTCGCTATGTGCCCGGTTCGAGCAACACGACTGTGCAGAGCGGCGCCAATGTTGATCCATTCACAGGGTCTTCTAGCTATTCTACGAGAGCCAGTGATGGCGGCAACAGCGCCGCACAGTCCCGCGTTAATGTTAGCTTTGTGCGTGGCAATGACAAACCCTTTCCCGTCAATAGCTATCGCACCTTCGACACTTGCGACGCTGCAAAGGTGCTGGAAAAAATGAAGTGAGTACAAATCAAAGATGAGACATAACAAATTTCTGCTAAAGCTTTAACATTGCAGAGAATTCAACAACAAATTGTCGATCTCTGATGGAAAGGTCAGTGATGAAGTGTTGAACACAGTTGTTAAGCTGGCGGAGCCAACGCCTGAAGTGAACTTAGAAGCTCTGGAAGCACTAGTGCTGCTGCTTAAATGGCCTAGCAACATGCTTTTCCCAGTTCTAGACATTCTACGTTTGGCCGTGCGTCATGAGGCCATATTCAGCATGCTTCAAAATGGACATAATATAATGAAAATTATACTGCCACAATTGAGCGGTGCAGCCGCCAACCAATTAATGGTATTGCGCTGCCTTGCTAATGTGTTAACGCACAATACAGGGCGGCAGCAAATTGAGACGCAATTGCCAGAAATCATCGATCTTGTAATGGGTATTCGTGCAGGCAGTGTCAACCTTCAGATAGCAGTAGCCACATTTTACCTTAATGCCACCATATCACAGACACTGGGTGTGACAAAGCCAGCTGTGTGTCATGTGGTCACTACCGGCATTGTAGAACTGTTAAAGTGGGCCAGCGATCTGGAGGCCTGCTACCGCTCCATGCAATCGATTGGTAATTTAACGACCACACCCTGTGGACAGGAGACTATTGCACAGGTTGTTTCTGTGGACTATGTGATGGATAAATTGCGTGACCTCACAAACACGCCACAGAGTGAGAACTTCGCGAAGGTGAACATTTTGGGACAGGCCCTGTTGGCGTCATTTTAAAACCGATCAAAACTCTCATCCTAAATTGTATATTGGACTGCATTATGATAACTTGATTAAATATGCATACACACATACTCTTAATCGCTACTTAATTTATGGATATTTACATATATGCACTTGGGATTAAACCTGCTGCGTCCCAGATGCTTTCTCAGATATTGTTGTTGTCGCCCGTCTGCCTCCGATTTTGTATCCGCTCTAATAGCTCGTGCTTCCAGCGCTCCTCAGGCACGCCCACAGCCCAATCTGGCACCGTCACATTCGGCAGCGTAATCTTTGACATCGCGCTTAGAATCTTATAAATAAATGATTATATTTATTGATAATAATGATTAGGTAAACACGAACCTGTTCCGTCCGCGTCTTGTCCAGTTCAATTTGCAACTCTTGAGGCCGTGGTTCATTCCACACTTGTCTTTCGATTTCAGCGTCAGCGCTCTCAATAGGCGGAATGTTCGGGTCACCATAACTCACGGGCGCTGTGGTCAAATCAATATTCTCAGCAGAGGACTCTGGCTCCTGCTGGGCAATTGCACCACCGTCCTCGTCCATTGCCAGCGGTTGGTAGCCGTCGTAGACTTCTGAATTATCGCTCTCATCCCCATCACTTTCTTGCACAATTTGTGGATGTTCTATAGTTGGTGTGTGTAGGTGATCCTCAACAGGATCTGTAGGCAATTCTGGACCACCCATAACGCACAATAAACGCTGGAGCTATAATTTCTTTGTCGTTGTTAAGTTCTGTCCTTCCAAACACTGGCAGCACCTTAACGTTAGCTCACACTGCATATCGATAAATTGTAATAATATAATTGGAATTTGAAATTAAATTTGTTTAAGAATAAAATCGCCAAGTAATAAAGGTTCCTTTACTTTTTTGTACATAACAGCACCGTCTGGTCAGTGAGTACATTTTAAATAAAAAAGCAACGGTGCTTTTAATGTCACACAACACGGTTCCAATCCAAATAGCCGTTAAATTTGCCTAAACTTAAAAAAAATAACGTTAAATAAATGGATACCATTTCTGCTAGCACAGCCAGCAATGGACGTCGCGCAACCCTCAAGCGTACTACGCGCCGTATTAGAAAACGATCCCTCGCGAGCCGTGCCCAGATTTCTACATTAGCACTATCGTTGTCGACAACCCCAAGGAAAGCGGCTCAACGTGTTTTTCTCTACATACAACTGAACGAGGTTATAAAGCTGCCAGAAACGCCATATTCATTGGAGATGCATCTGTATCAGTCTAAGAATACTTTACAAAAAATGCAGGAACGCTACACCACTGAAACCATTATTTACCAAAATGAGTTTGATATGAAGAAACCAGTTTTTGCATTGGGAATCTTGCAGGATAGCATTGATGATATGAACACTTTCAGCGACAATCCGTTAATCATAACGCTCTACCAACGGATTCCTCGCCATCGCAAAGGTGAACTGAAGACCATTGCGGATATGAAAATAGAGCCTTCAACAAAGTTTAAGCGAGAAGTACCCTCTGAAATTGGCGATTCCGTGGATCGAAAAAGTGCTGAACCACAGACAAGAGAAACGATTTCATCCGCAATGGAACCTGGAATTATAAAGGAACTGTTAACAGAAGTCTCCATGTCCACCTCCGCAGTCTTAAAAGAGGCAGTCGACGACGAAGGTGGCGAAGGGGAACTAGCACCATTTGTAAATGAGCGTCTCGAACTAATTTCACGTGGGCACTGTGATCTGTTAAAACTGTTCCACCGCAAGCGCTTCATCAGCAACATGGATGTATTGTTGTATCCTCAGTATCAGTACAAGCTAGAGTCGTTAACCGCTGAGAAAATTACCACTACCACCATTTGGCACATGTACTCCATACTGCCTATGCTTAAGAAGTTCACTTTCACGAACCTGGCTTTCATTACCTTGGAGTCCATTTATAATGCGCCCATGGATATGCATGATCGCGCCGCAAGTTTGGGCATATGTCTGTCATTTCGATCCACACAGCCCGACGAGAATGGGAGCTATAAGGTAGTGCCATTTTGCAATTACTACGGCTTCACCTCAAACATTATCAGTGACCAGAGCACCAATGTCGTGTGGGAGACTATTAAGCGCGATTGCAATCTGACCGACACCTTTAGCTTCAATCAGATGGACACGGGTTCACGCATTAAACTGCCCCGTCTCTTCAATCATTTGCTGTACACGGAGAACGTTGATTTTAAAATTCCTGATATTGATCCTGTGCTGGATCTGGCACTGGTCAACAATTCACTGCACCGATATGTGATAGACAGCGAAATGCGAGCCATCCTTGAGGCAGCTGTGGTGCATAACCACTTTGAGCTGCTTGTTCAAGTATACAATGAGTCGCCCCAGACGATTATCTATGAGGGTACCATTAATTTGAGTGTCTTTGGCTATCCCAACGGTAAGCTGCTTGCCGTACTTTGTTTGCTTCATCCATTCTTCCCATCATCCCCATCCCATCCATACAATTAGTGAATTCTGTCCGTTTTGCTACCGTATTAACACCTGTTGTCAGTCGCTCATCAAAGCAAAAGTCTCGTGGACCATCATTGCTACCGTCTCTGACGTATCCTATGTTCACCATCATCAAGATATGCTTTTTCCAGCCGATAGCAAAGTATAATGAGCCCTTGGATGTGTTTAACGAGAGCGAAATGAAGTACGCCAAGCTACGACGCTGTTTTGACATTGAGTTTCTGAAAGAGGAGGACGATCGGGATATTGCTAAAGAGTTATATCGCGCTTTTGACGATCTTATCTCAGACATTATTGCCACAATTGTAAAGCGCGACATTCACGACATAACCCAGCGCCGCGACTATTTCTGCTGCCAGCTCGGAAATCTCATTAATTTGCTCCTAAAGATCTGCGGTGCCGATTTCAATGTGCGCATGCGCACCAAAACCAATATTGAGTTCCGTGTAGGTGAAAGTCCCATAAGAACCCATAATTCATATACTACGGTATGTGTATGTAATAAAATTGGACAATTTTCATTTGCAGGAAATGTTGACGCACATGTACAAAGAGCTCGTGCAACGCATGTACGACTTGCTGATGGCCTGTGGCAGGGAGAGTTTGAGCAACTGCATCGTAAATTATGAGGCGGAACAGGTGCGCCTAATACGCATGCTGGAGGAATATCGTTTCATGCAGATTGTCGGCGACACCGACATGGCCCAGTTGGCATTCGAAGAGCTTAAAGTGAACAGTACCAATAAGATGATCTTTGAGTTTTATTTATTCCTAAATGATGTGGAAACCTTAAATTTTGAGAGTGCCTCCAAATATTTGGTGCAGGCCAAGGATAACGAATGGGAAGGCGATTATTTTGCGTAAGTACTGATAGTAGGAATTTAAACAATTTCATTATTATAATCCTAGAGCTAATTAATTTCTTCACACAACCTGCAGCTCTTTGCTAAAGCTATACATCGACTACCAGATGGAAATGGAATCAGAGGAGTTGGCTGGCGAGGCATATGCTAATCTGATAGAGCAGTTACGGATCTTCACTACCAAGAACTCGTTGGATCAAGACGCTTGGATTCTGCTCTACTGCTACTACAAGAATAACCAATATATGCCGGGCATGGAATACACCCGTTGGAAATACGAAAATCTCTATGATATACCGCGCAAGAATATGTCCCTTGCTCCGCGCTCCTTCTTCGAGCTCTACATGCCCATCGATTGCGAGCTAAAGACGCCGCGTGCAATAAAGTTTTATAAGATCTTCAAGCTATTTGCACGTTTGGGGGCCTACGGTTTTGCTGAAGTTGTGTTCGCCGAAGTAGCCAACGATTGTCCCGCGGTGGAGGCATATTTGGTCACCACAACGCTAAAGATGTTGCAAGGCCACATAGACAATACCTTCAAGGTTCGCACTTTTCCCACAGACAACAGCATTCGGGGCAAGATGTTGGTGAGCAATACCTCTAAAATTTTTTTTGGAATTTGGAAAATAAATCTGTAACAACCCCAGCGCTACTACTTGGCCCACATTAATGGCAGCGTGGAATATGCGCGCGGGCGATACGATGAAGCCATCAACCAATACAAGCAACTGCTCAGTATTACCGAACCGGATATACTATTAAATTTCTATTTGAGCCTTTCCCGCTTGGGTCAGTTAAGCTTCAATCGAGGCGATTACCCGCTGGCAAAAAAGGCCTTTGCTATGTGCCTAGGGCTGGACGGATGGGAGAAGCAGTTTTCGGCCAATTATGGCATGGGGCGCTCCCTCTACTATGTGCGTTCGTCTGAATTGAATCCCTTTTTAACAACACTAATTGTCCTTTGAGTGTTGATTTACAGATGAATCAGCTAGAGGATGCCATTGAGTACCTGGCTAACTGCACTCATGCGGAATACTTTGTGCCCGATGTTTGGGGCTACTTGGCTGTCATTAATCTGCGTTTGAACAAAACAAAACGTGCGCTGGATTGTTGGAAGATGGCTAAGCAGGTAAATTTTAATAAACACCATTTGATATTGTTATTTTTAATAATTTAAATTGTAAGTGGTTCCCATTTACAAATACGAAACTTTCAATAGTTCTTTAAAGCCAATGCTTTCACGCATTTCTCACAGAAAAATCAACATAAATAAGTTAAAAAAATCGAAATATTTCTCAATAAGCTGAGGCTTACTAACTATAAGTATATCAAGCCGCATTGAATTAAGATTTTAAATTTGTTTCTAGTACCCAGAAATGGCCATTGCCGACAGCATTTACGACGAGCTCAATAAAATCAAGTTCTCTGACATCAGTTTATTGGTGGACGATGATGGCAATGAAGATGAATTTATGGGTAAAATGGATTTTGGCATTTAAAAATTGTTGCTATGTTAAATACAAACTATACATTTGCACCTAATATAAGTATGCTGCGGGGGTGGCGGCAGTGGCTGCGGTTGCGGCACCGGCATCCACTGTACCGCCAACTTTCTGGAGTGGTACAATTGTGGATTTGATGTCTCGATTCGAAGTCTTGCGGAGCTCTGTGGCGGCATGTTGCAGCTGCAGAGTGCACTCTGTGTTGGCACCGTTAAGCGTTAACTGGGCACACTCCTTTTCCAATAGCATGGCTAGAGCCTCTAACAGCTCCACAAATCCAAGCGCGAGTGCAGCGCGTCTTATACGATTTAATTCCTTATAGAAATGCTGTGTTTTGTCCGGCATTTTCTTGGCGTGCCGCAGCACTTTTTGTACGTCGGACTGTAGACTTGCCTGTCGTATCCACACCACACTGCTCTGGGAGTACGATCGACGCTCGGCGCGTACTGGGAAGCTTGCAGTTTCGCCTGGACTGATATCTTCGGCAAATCCCAGCATTTCGATATCTCCCAACCATGGTATGACATTAGTGCCCGGGGGCAATACATTCAACATGAGATTGGATTTCTTTTTGGCATCTGTAAACGCATATATAAACCCATACCACTTCTCGCCTAAAAGAACGAGGGCTGCCATGTTTTCCATTTTCAAAGCGCCATGCAAAAGCACGCACAGCGTCTCCTTCTGCTGCTCCGACAAAGGGAGAGTACTGTGTTTGCTCACCACAGTGACATCAGCATCATCGCCGCTTTCCTCAGCATCCTTTGGATCTTTCAGATAAAAATCACGCACATCCTGTTCCAGTTTTTCAAACTCGTAGTTAGGATTTGTTACGTCAAGTGTGAGCTTGGCTGGCTTTGAAGCGGCAGCCATGCCGCTGGATCTTCGACTGGCAGTTCGTTCCACTTTTGGCAGCACCCAATGACGACTTAGCGAAGCAGGCGATCCAATGTCTGAGAGAGCCAAATACCCACAAACGTCAATGCGCTGATCTATGGTGCGGATAATGGGATCACCGTCATAAACCGCTGGCTGTTCGTAGGGCAGAACTGGTGGCCAGAGCATCACGCTGCTCTCTAAGCGAAAGTAACTGCCGCATTTTAGTTTAACTTCGGTGAGCTTGTAGCTGCTTTCACACAGCCGCTCCACCAACTCAAACACCGCTGTGCGTCCTAGCTCGCTTTTGTGGCTAACATGTGAGGTGGCTCCACCCGCATTTTGCCCGCCAGCCCCACCATCACCGCCTTCGGCTTTCACCGGCTTCGTCATAAACAGTTGGCCTACATGAAAGCAATTAGCATAAGTTAATATGTCTGATTGGCAAGCTCACCTTTCAGTTGCGCGGCGTCCAAAAGCTGTTGGTACAAAGCAAGACCGTTCGTAAAATAAGCATCGCTGTGCACGCCCAGGCAAATAAAGTTAATTTTGTACGTGGCTAGCGTCTTTAACCACGCATATTCCGGCTCTGATTCCCTGCCAATATACGTCTCCAGGAATGCGCTGATCGAAGTGCTGCCAAAGCCCAGGCCACAATCTGTGAACACAACCAGTTGTAAGACGTTCTGGGCTCCCCACGCCTGCATTATGTTTACAGCTGTTTTTAACATTGTTATTAGGCATGCCTTGTCCACAGCCTCGATCTTCTTGACGGCTTGGCGTATCTGATCGTAATCCCGCGTAAAATCCACTTTAAGTTCGGTAACGGTGGTAAATGCAACCAGCGCCAAGTGCTCCAGCTTGCCGGCAGCAGCCAAATTGTCTAGCAGGTTTCCAACGCCCTTTAATGCCAATGAGTGGTAGGTGTGATCGCTACGTCCTGGCACTGGACGCATCATCGATAGTGATGCATCCACTGCGATGATGGTGGGCATTTTGTATGTTTCTTTACCTTTTTTAGGGTCTTTTCATAAAATCGTCAACAAATATTATGATCAAAACAAAAAACTCTGTTTTCGCTTTACAGTTGCCATTCGCTGCGAATAACATGCATAGGTGTTGGATAACGTCACAATACGTAAAGGCCGCAATTGAATTTTTGAATATTTTATTACACACATACATTGTATCTATGTGAATACAGTGCTGGTCAACGTTATAAGACTGGTGGCGCCGTAGTATCGTATATTTTTTGAATAAATGTTATAAATGAAGTGTCGTAATTGCCTATTTAATTGGCTTGATTTCCGCCGCTAAAATATTGCACTGCAGATATGACCCTGGCCCTCATAAGTAATTAAAATGCACTTTAATAGTTTTGTATTAAAATTAATTTACTTTTGATTCGATTGCGCCTTTTACGGTCGCGCCGCAATTAATGCTGCGTCAACAAAGATGCGGGAATCTCACTTCACAGCCATCAATGCTCCTAACCGCTCCCACTTGACATGCACACGCTCTTTCAATTTTCTTAATGAAAAACATATGAGGAAGCCGATCAGCGCGCACGCTCTTCTCATTGTCTGAAACTGTGAGGAAGCTAGCCAGCCACATGCTAGTATCATTCAATAGGCACTGCTCGGGCAGTGAAGACGTATTTATGTTCTGTGTTATCAGTGAGAAATGTGTATGTGTGTTAGAATAGGCTAACAAATCGTATTTTTACTGTTCCGGCAGTTTTTTTAATTCGGGAGCAGCGCATGCTAGCTGAAGTTGTCACAACTCAAGTAAGTACCTGGATATTTTAAAAATCTTTTACTCGGTGCTTTCAATTTCATTATAAAATGTGGAATTTTTATTTAATATATATTTTGAAAATCGCAATTTATCAACCTTTTGACCCACTTAGTAAACGTTGCGATAAGGATATGTATACAATTTCTGTTTTGTTCGTGCTTTTTTTTATAATCATAATAAAATAAAGGCAGCGGTTTTTTAAATGAAAATAGGCCGCTACCACATCAAATACAATATTACATTTACATGCGCCCATACAAAAGTGGTTTGCATATTTCTGACCCAATTTCCAATGCAATTCTGCTCCATAAAGCAAACTGCCGCACGCAAAATGAAAGATTTGCGTCATTATTTATCGCTTCGAGGCACATAAATAGTTTGCATGTAAGTATATACTATACATACATACATATGTATATACGCAATGTATATATTGTGCATTTGTGTTTTTCACATGATCCGCTAACAAGGAACCAATTGGCGTTGGCGGTGCATTGTTTTATTAACCATTGGCGTCTTAATTGTTTAAACAATTGCTTACATTTGGCATCGGTTCCGATGCTGTGCGCGCCTCACTGAAATAATTTAAATTAGAAATATAAACAATTTGCATTGCATTTGCAGCAAATATTCAATCCGTGCCAGTAATATGTAAACAAATAAAAATAAAAACTCATAAATAGGCAAATAAAATTGTACGTCCAAAATCTCCAATAAATTTAGAAAATCGGTTTTGAAATACCACTAATGGCAGCTGGTCGAACATCTGGGAATGTAGGGCTATCATAGAAAGTCTAAAAGCCAAATACTCGTATGTATGTATATTAGAGGTTTAAAGGCTTTAAAAAGGAATTTCAAGGTAGCTTTTACCTCCCATCAGCTTTCTCTATTGTAGGTTTGACTCAAAAAGAATCTTGTGCTTTTTTAATGCCTACAATATTTCTAATTCGTAATGTTCATATTTTCAAAATGATGAATTATTAGTACTATAACTTATACATACAAACTACAAGTACAGGGTGCGCCATCTTATATGTCGGTATGTAGATATTGAATAACTTTGACATTAGTGAACCGATTGACTTGAGTGTGTTGAAAACCTCAGTTCAAGAAATTGTACAGAACCAAATTAAATAAAAATATCTCATACATGAAAATCGGTTGTTTATTTTCAAGGATATTCAATGTTTGCATACCGACATAAAAGATTGCGCACCCTGTAGCTTGAAGGACATTCTAGGTTTTAAAAAAAATTTTCCAAAAACTATAAAATGGGTTTTTCGGAATATCTATTTTATATCTGAGGCATTGGCTTGTACGCTTTTCATTGGAGGGCGCCGTTTCTAATTATATATCAATTTATTTTCAATTTTTTCGTCTCCTTGCTCAAAATGCAATTGAATTCATTGAACAGATCACGCACTTTATTAGGATTTCCATAGAAACGGGTCGTCAGCGGAAGACCAGCGGAAACATCGACGGAAGACACGCACAATACGAGAATGGGGCTCCAGCATAAAATTGTTTTTCTGTTCTTCAGCCTAATTGGCTTAAGTCTGTGGGAGACGGCTGCTGCATCTTTAGTCACGTAAGTATAAAAATAACAACCTTTCGCCAAACGGGCAAATTTCATGAATTTCTTTAAACTGAAAAGAGAACAATTCATGGATTAGGAAACTTTCAAAAAATTGTTTAATTACTGCCAAAATTAAAAATATTTTTGCAAGGTAATTGTTTATTAATAAAATCAGATCGAAATAAATATTATTCCATGATCCGTGTTGATCTGTTCTGTTTGCTGCAGGTTTTTGTTTAGTTAAAGGACTGTCCGATTACTAATTTGTCCTTAAATATTGCTCCATAATCAAAATATTTGATGTATCTGTAAACAACATAAAAATCTTTAGCATTAGGCTCATTTTTATTTACCCAGGGGTGTCGCTTATCTTTTTTTGAATTAGGTTATAGAGTTGGAGAATTTGTTTCTTTTGTAGTAAAGTTATTATACTTGTATTTGTCTCTATATACTATAGATCTAAGTACATAACCATCTAGTATTTGAAATATTTCAATACATGGCAACTTCTGATTTCATGCTTCTTTCCATTTTGTAATTTGAAATGCCATTACGGAAATCTGCAATACAGTCGGCTCCTCCAACCCCAACTACTTCACACCACATGCCAGGGCAACGCCTTCAGCAAGTTCCCCCTCTCAGCCGTTCCTTGGGAAGCTCTGCCAAAACTAATGACTTTTGCCTTCAAAGAAGCAGCCTGTCTGTTTGTTTGTTTATTTTGGGTATGAATAGAGAGGGAGGGGATCTATCTGCACACTTAATGCAAATGGGAACGGGTTGGGGTGATTTTGTGATGGAGCCGCATGTGTTCTCTATTGCACTATTGGGCAGCGAGGGAGGGGATCTATCTGCACACTTAATGCAAATGGGAACGGAGCCGCATGTGTTGTCTATTGCACTTATAGTAGGATGGTACATATGTATGAACGTGTATGTAAATGCGGCACAGCATATCTATCAACATGATCGCGTTGAACACAAACAAACTGACAGATGGGCAGACAGGCGGGCGGGAGAACTAAAAGGGTTTCTGACCCTGAGACGGCATAGCCATCATTAGGAGGAGGCAGGCAGTCGAGCAGCCAGGGACGTAGCTTCCGAGAATCAGTAGTCATTGGAAAGAAGAGGCCATGAGATGCATTGTGATGTAATGGGAATGTGCCAAGAGGTTGGACGTACTATTTGATGATGACAGCAGGCGCCGTAGAGCGTCGAGTAAAGCGACAGAATGATGTTTAGTGCCTTCAATATTTATAGATGCAAGGGCCATAAAGGGGCCCGCAGTCGTGAGTGCCGATGGTGGTCCCTCCATGCTACTATGATGATTAATGAGCAGCTGGGCGAAGCTGCCCGAGCATTTTTATTTTAAGCGTACTCAAGTCGGGGTGGTTGCTAATGTGCCTCTCGTTGCAGCAATGAGGAAATACGCGGTACTATCCAGTCGCTGATCTATTCGTACAATCAATTGGACAACAAGCTGGAACGCCATGAGCATCGTGAGCGTGTACTTGGCGAGCTTATGAAGAAGGCAATGCAATCGCTGCAGAAGGGGCAGAAGAGCCTGGAGCCACTCAATGGCATATTCGCACGTCTGGACGATCGAGTTAGTCAGATCGAGACCATGCTATTGAAGGTAGGTTTCTAAAATGGGACCCCAAGGATAGGTACACATGTTCTATCAATTCTATATTTAGAGACATGTTAACATTTTTTGGACTCTCTTCTCTAAATTGTTTGACGAAAGTGAGACAATAAGATAAGTCAAGTATGTTTTTATAGCCTGGACCCAAAGGGTAAAGGGCTATACATACTAGTTTTGTGCGAATGTATGTAACACACAGAAGGAGATGTGGCAGACCCCACAAAGTATATGTATTCTTGATCATTATGACAATACGAGTCGTTATAGCCATGTCCGACTGTCCATCCGTCCGTCTGCCTGTCTGTCCGCCTGTATGAACGCAAGGATTTCAGGAAGTATAAGAGCTAGTATAAATTTGGTATCTAGATTCTCCTAAGTCCGAGAGGGGACGAGTTTGTGTTTTTTCCTTATGTAAGGTAGATAAACATATGTCTCCATTTATTGAATATTTTTTAATTAATTTAATTAAATAATTTAATTTAATTTTTTAAATTAATTTTTAAAATATTTTATATTTGTGGTAGTTAAAGGGTATTTAAGAGTTGAGCTCGTTCGTCTTTAGCATTCCGTCCTCGTTATACCTATAATATGTATAGTATATGCATCTATAACATAGGGTATGACACGCTTTTTTCTGGTGCAGAGAATACAAAAATTGTTGTGGCAACATTATGCGCCTGTATCTTAGTTCTGCAAATGCTATGTCGTATAGATAATTCAAATACTGGGATAATAAGAGAATTATCGAAGCTGACAAAACTAAAAAGCAGGACGAACATATTTAAAAATTATTCAAGAATTCAGATGTACATATAATTATTGTTTGCATTAATGGTATATTCATAGGCCTCTTAAGTCTCTTACTTATGTATATCATTGAATATATGCACCTGTATTAGTCATTCCCCAACTCTTCATTCCTTTGCAGCAAGAGGATAAATACAATGGGCAGGCAGATAGTGTGAATCAAGCCGTAGATCACATTTTTAAATGGATGCGGGAGAACGACGATTGCTTGAAGCATCCACCGAATGCGGGAGCACCCGCAGCCTCCAACGCTCCAACGTCCAATGAGTTTGTGGAACAGCAGCAGGAAATCAACAGGCAGCTACTAAATGAAATCAAACAGCTTTCGGCAAATGTGGCCAAATTGCTGGACACCAGCAAGGCGACCTCAGAGCAGACGCAGCAAAGCATCGAGCGCTTACCCAAGGCAGATCAACTGTTAACCCAAATCGATGAGAAGTTGCAGAAACACGCTTCTGCCGTAGTAGCCGCCGCTGCCACCGCCTCTCCTGCAGCTCCTGATAACTCTTTGTTTGAGGGCGAGCTGATGACACGCCTCGACACCTTAAGCAAGGGCGTCGAAGAGATTCGCATTGCGAAATCCCAAATGCCAGCACCGGCTGCTGGGCTAACCGAAACGGACAAAATCTACATCCAAGAACTGAACAATGATACCATTAATGCACTGGTGGCTCTCAAGAGCGAGGCAAAGGATGCGCAGCAAACAGGTTTGCTAAGATCTCATTACACTGTTTCCTGTTTCCTGTTTCCTAAACTAATCATTTCTCATGCTGAACCCTATAATCTCTTACAGCTCTCACCAAGGTGACGGAGCGATTGCAGCAAACTGAAGCCAACATACAGGCTGATGTGAAGCAGCTCTCCCAGGAGGTGGCGAATTCTGTGGGTGTGCTTAATAAGTTCAGCGGCGAACTGAGCACCAATTTCAGCAAACTGGGCGACGGCTTCAAGGTTCTGGACAACTTTAACACCGTTATGCTCACCAACTCTGATGAATTGCTAAACACTCAGCGGAAGGTAGAGTTTGGAACGATTCAGGTGGTGCAGAAGATTACTCTTCATTTGGAGCAAGAGTTCGCTAATCTGAGCAGTCTGTTGGCGTCGCGCTTTGAGGGACTAAATCAGTCCATTGTGGACACGCAGACGGAAGTGGGTCGCAATCTTAACACTAGCCTGGATCAGGTGTGGCATTACATCGAGATTATGTCCAGCGACATTAGCGACAGTGCGGAGCTACTGCGGAATATGCAAACCGGTCACGAGGGATATATAAACAGCACTTCCCACTCCATGCTCGCACTGAGCGACAAGGTGGAGCAGACTAAAAAGCACATGATCGACATGGACTCGAATTTGAATTACCTGCTAGGCAAGCTATCTCTAATGTCCAGTGAATTTAAAAATATCAAGGACGGACTGGCTACCGCATTGGAGGATCTGCGCAAGTCCTTTCGCGATTTGCACGAACGCATGCCTACGGGACCGGGACCGCACAATATTGAAAAGAATCAATATCACACCGAGACCGATGTAAGTTTGCTGTCCAAGCGTGCCATTGAGGGTCCCAAGCCATAAATATCTAAATATTTACTGTAGGTAGAACCATAATCTTCTGTGTTCGATTTTTCTTACTACTAAGATTAAAAGTGTAACAGAACTAATCACCATAAAATTGCTACGATAATGAAAAATTAAGAGAATAAACGTTGGTTAAATTCTGAGTTATTAGGCATATAATAAAACCTACAAATCAATACATTCATACATGCGGAAATTCAATGAAAAATGTATGCTGCTTTTACTTATTTTCTTCTGTCATTTAGTTAGATGTGGCAGCAAATGTTTTAATATACTCGTACATTTATGTAGCTTAACGATAACCGTAGCATTTAAGCCAAGAATGTTTTCGATTGAACATGGATGCCTCTGCATGCAAATCTGTGAAATCTGTTTATTTTAAATTTGAACAACTTTTTATACACAGACCCCATGTTGTTTCACTTGGAATAGAAATAAAACTTGGTTTATTAAGCACATACAACGTAAATAGCATTTTTATAATAGTTATTATCACCTATCAGAATCCTTTAACCGACCTAAAATCATTTGACTGGATGAATCGATTTTGATGATACTTTTGCTATTTGAAAGCTGGTGCTTCCCGAATGGTCCCATTTCAATTTAGTCCACTTCTGACAATAGCATCCAAGAGAAAACCATATAAGTCGTAAATTTCCATTAAGTATGTGCAAAATCAAAGGGACGAATCGATGATTCCTCTTTTATAGAAAACTATGTACTTCAAGACTATGTTGATGAGAGTTTGGTTAGGTTCTGCAAAGGATGATGTTTTCTATTCAAAAGTAGTTTTGCTTGTTACCTAAGAACTTTCGACTGTGTGCACAGATTTTCATGATTCTTTTTGTAGCAAAAAGCTCCAATAATAACACTGATTAAGGATAACGTGTGGTGGGGGATATGTTTTCCGAATTTGTTGCAGCAACCAGCTAGACACATAGGGTTGCCGATGACTGTGTTATCTGCATTAATTCATCACGAATAAATTGATTACATTGAAAAGTAAATTATTTTTCAATAACTAAATCAATGGATTATGATGTTAACATACTTCCGTTTAATTTTCAACTAGTTCTTTGGAGTAAAGCAAAGCAAAATGCTCAAAATATAACACTGCTTAGAGTTAAACAAAGTGTTGCGAAGCATATGTATCCCGAATTTGTTGCAGCAACCAGCAAGAGGCAATGCAAAAAGGCAAAAAGTTGTCATTGACTGATGCCAACAACACGCGGTGTTCCCAAGCGGTCCCCCATCTAAGTACTAACCGCGCCCGACGCTGCTTAATTTCGGTGATCAGACGAGAACCGATGTATTCAGCGTGGTATGGTCGTTGGCGAATGCTGAGCGTTGGAAACCGTGTTTTATGCTGACATTCCATTGCCACTGAGTTCAAAACAAAAGTATCCTTGAGATATGCTGAGTTCTGTCTCAACGCTTACGTCCTTTCGCCCAAGTGCTTACTAATTTCATTCCCTGTACATGATTTTCATTTAAAATCTGCTTCAAAATGTTTTAATTTGTTGTTATAACCAAATCGTCGGCTGTGGGCCATTTCTTTTTTGTTTCATATCTTAACCAATAATTGTTCACAAATTAATTTGTTGCAAAGTAAATTCTTGTTGAATACCTAAGTCAATGGATTATGAAGGGGTGTTAACACACTTCCGTTTAATTTTCAACTAGTTCTTTGGAGAATAAAAGTTATCGCAGTAAAGCAAAATGCTCAAAATATAACACTGCTTAGAGTTAAACAAAGTGTTGCGAAGCATATGTATCCCGAATTTGTTGCAGCAACCAGCAAGAGGCAATGCAAAAAGGCAAAAAAGGCAAAAAGTTGTCATTGACTGATGCCAACAACACGCGGTGTTCCCAAGCGGTCCCCCATCTAAGTACTAACCGCGCCCGACGCTGCTTAATTTCGGTGATCAGACGAGAACCGATGTATTCAGCGTGGTATGGTCGTTGGCGAATGCTGAGCGTTGGAAACCGTGTTTTATGCTGACATTCCATTGCCACTGAGTTCAAAACAAAAGTATCCTTGAGATATGCTGAGTTCTGTCTCAACGCTTACGTCCTTTCGCCCAAGTGCTTACTAATTTCATTCCCTGTACATGATTTTCATTTAAAATCTGCTTCAAAATGTTTTAATTTGTTGTTATAACCAAATCGTCGGCTGTGGGCCATTTCTTTTTTGTTTCATATCTTAACCAATAATTGTTCACAAATTAATTTGTTGCAAAGTAAATTCTTGTTGAATACCTAAGTCAATGGATTATGAAGGGGTGTTAACACACTTCCGTTTAATTTTCAACTAGTTCTTTGGAGAATAAAAGTTATCGCAGTAAAGCAAAATGCTCAAAATATAACACTGCTTAGAGTTAAACAAAGTGTTGCGAAGCATATGTATCCCGAATTTGTTGCAGCAACCAGCAAGAGGCAATGCAAAAAGGCAAAAAGGCAAAAAGTTGTCATTGACTGATGCCAACAACACGCGGTGTTCCCAAGCGGTCCCCCATCTAAGTACTAACCGCGCCCGACGCTGCTTAATTTCGGTGATCAGACGAGAACCGATGTATTCAGCGTGGTATGGTCGTTGGCGAATGCTGAGCGTTGGAAACCGTGTTTTATGCTGACATTCCATTGCCACTGAGTTCAAAACAAAAGTATCCTTGAGATATGCTGAGCTCTGTCTCAACGCTTACGTCCTTTCGCCCAAGTGCTTACTAATTTCATTCCCTGTACATGATTTTCATTTAAAATCTGCTTCAAAATTGTTTTAATTTGTTTGTATAAATAAATCGTCGGCTGTGGGCAATTTCTTTTTTGTTTCATATCTTAACCAATAATTGTTCACAAATTAATTTGTTGCAAAGTAAATTCTTGTTGAATACCTAAGTCAATGGATTATGAAGGGGTGTTAACACACTTCCGTTTAATTTTCAACTAGTTCTTTGGAGAATACAAGTTGTCGCAGTAAAGCAAAATGCTCAAAATATAACACTGCTTAGAGTTAAACAAAGTGTTGCGAAGCATATGTATCCCGAATTTGTTGCAGCAACCAGCAAGAGGCAATGCAAAAAGGCAAAAAAGGCAAAAAGTTGTCATTGACTGATGCCAACAACACGCGGTGTTCCCAAGCGGTCCCCCATCTAAGTACTAACCGCGCCCGACGCTGCTTAATTTCGGTGATCAGACGAGAACCGATGTATTCAGCGTGGTATGGTCGTTGGCGAATACTGAGCGTTGGAAACCGTGTTTTATGCTGACATTCCATTGCCACTGAGTTCAAAACAAAAGTATCCTTGAGATATGCTGAGTTCTGTCTCAACGCTTACGTCCTTTCGCCCAAGTGCTTACTAATGTCATTAACTGTACATAATTTTCATTTAAAATCTGCTTCAAAATTGTTTTAATTTGTTTGTATAAATAAATCGTCGGCTGTGGGCAATTTCTTTTTTGTTTCATATCTTAACCAATAATTGTTCACAAATTAATTTGTTGCAAAGTAAATTCTTGTTGAATACCTAAGTCAATGGATTATGAAGGGGTGTTAACACACTTCCGTTTAATTTTCAACTAGTTCTTTGGAGTAAATCAAAGCAAAATGCTCAAAATATAACACTGCTTAGAGTTAAACAAAGTGTTGCGAAGCATATGTATCCCGAATTTGTTGCAGCAACCAGCAAGAGGCAATGCAAAAAGGCAAAAAGGCAAAAAGTTGTCATTGACTGATTGTTCACAAATTATTTGTTGCAAAGTAAATTCTTGTTGAATACCTAAGTCAATGGATTATGAAGGGGTGTTAACACACTTCCGTTTAATTTTCAACTAGTTCTTTGGAGTAAAGCAAAGCAAAATGCTCAAAATATAACACTGCTTAGAGTTAAACAAAGTGTTGCGAAGCATATGTATCCCGAATTTGTTGCAGCAACCAGCAAGAGGCAATGCAAAAAGGCAAAAAGTTGTCATTGACTGATGCCAACAACACGCGGTGTTCCCAAGCGGTCCCCCATCTAAGTACTAACCGCGCCCGACGCTGCTTAATTTCGGTGATCAGACGAGAACCGATGTATTCAGCGTGGTATGGTCGTTGGCGAATGCTGAGCGTTGGAAACCGTGTTTTATGCTGACATTCCATTGCCACTGTTTGTTGTTATAACCAAATCGTCATCTGTGGGCCATTTCTTTTTTGTTTCATATCTTAACCAATAATAGTTCACAAATTATTTGTTGCAAAGTAAATTCTTGTTGAATACCTAAGTCAATGGATTATGAAGGGGTGTTAACACACTTCCGTTTAATTTTCAACTAGTTCTTTGGAGTAAAGCAAAGCAAAATGCACAAAATATAACACTGCTTAGAGTTAAACAAAGTGTTGCGAAGCATATGTATCCCGAATTTGTTGCAGCAACCAGCAAGAGGCAATGCAAAAAGGCAAAAAGTTGTCATTGACTGATGCCAACAACACGCGGTGTTCCCAAGCGGTCCCCCATCTAAGTACTAACCGCGCCCGACGCTGCTTAATTTCGGTGATCAGACGAGAACCGATGTATTCAGCGTGGTATGGTCGTTGGCGAATGCTGAGCGTTGGAAACCGTGTTTTATGCTGACATTCCATTGCCACTGAGTTCAAAACAAAAGTATCCTTGAGATATGCTGAGCTCTGTCTCAACGCTTACGTCCTTTCGCCCAAGTGCTTACTAATTTCATTCCCTGTACATGATTTTCATTTAAAATCTGCTTCAAAATTGTTTTAATTTGTTTGTATAAATAAATCGTCGGCTGTGGGCAATTTCTTTTTTGTTTCATATCTTAACCAATAATTGTTCACAAATTAATTTGTTGCAAAGTAAATTCTTGTTGAATACCTAAGTCAATGGATTATGAAGGGGTGTTAACACACTTCCGTTTAATTTTCAACTAGTTCTTTGGAGAATACAAGTTGTCGCAGTAAAGCAAAATGCTCAAAATATAACACTGCTTAGAGTTAAACAAAGTGTTGCGAAGCATATGTATCCCGAATTTGTTGCAGCAACCAGCAAGAGGCAATGCAAAAAGGCAAAAAAGGCAAAAAGTTGTCATTGACTGATGCCAACAACACGCGGTGTTCCCAAGCGGTCCCCCATCTAAGTACTAACCGCGCCCGACGCTGCTTAATTTCGGTGATCAGACGAGAACCGATGTATTCAGCGTGGTATGGTCGTTGGCGAATGCTGAGCGTTGGAAACCGTGTTTTATGCTGACATTCCATTGCGACTGAGTTCAAAACAAAAGTATCCTTGAGATATGCTGAGTTCTGTCTCAACGCTTACGTCCTTTCGCCCAAGTGCTTGCTAATTTCATTCCCTGTACATGATTTTCATTTAAAATCTGCTTCAAAATTGTTTTAATTTGTTTGTATAAATAA